GAGAAGTGTAAAAGCTGAAGGATAATTCAGTATGAGTGAACTAGGCCAGTTTATGTTAGAATATGAACCAAATTAATTTTCTCTTCTCTTGTCACGGATTTTTATTCAATACAGAAATGGCTTTTGAAAGAACAGGGGGTTTGGTACAATGCTTGGCTTTATAACTTATCGTATTTTTCGCTCCATAAGATGCACTTTTCCACCCCAAAAAAGTGGAGGGAAAAGTGTGTGTGTCTTATGGAGTGAATACAGTCAAACCTCGACCTCAGAACTTAATCCGTTCCGGAAGGGCGTTCGTAGGTCGAAATGTTCGTAGGTCAAAGCACCATTCCCCACAGGAATGCACTGAAAACCAATTAATCCGTTCCAGGAGAAGAAATGGAAGGCACTGAGGCTTTAAGAAGGGGGGAAACCTCCAACAACAAACAGTAAAACTACCTCCCTTGCTGAGGCTTTAAGAAGGTGAAAAACTTCAAAAAAGAAAAGTAAAATGACTTCCCCTGCTGAGGCTTTAAGAAGGGGGGAAACTTCCAACAACAAACAGTAAACTCAGCTCCCTTGCTGAGGCATGAAGGAAAAAAAACCACCAACAAAACAGCACAGGAAAATATTCATCCCAGCCAAAACCCACCCAGAAGATTTTTAAAAGGAGAAAACAGCTGCCTACCTCCCTGTGTAGACAAACACACAGGCTCACTCAGAAAGCAGGAGCTCTCTCAACTGCGACACACCCTATAATGGCCAACAGAGCTACAGCACAAAGAAGCAGCCTCGGCGTCTTGCCCGCCTTTTTTCCCTGCCTGTTTCTGTTCTTATGTCAAAGCTCCGTGCGCAAGTCAAAGCAATATTTTTCTATCGGAGCGGTTCGTAAGTCAAAACATTTGCAAGTAGGGCTGTTCGTAAGTCAAGGTTTGACTGTACTGTAAAAATTTTTGCAGACCCCCCCCGAGCCCATGCCGCTGTACTCCTCCTCTTCCTTTGACCCCCTGCTCCGGGTTTCTCTCGTCTCTCCACGTCCCCCTCACTAGGCCGGGCGGGACCTGAATGTCAGAGGGGTGCCTGGCGCAGCCCCGTGCCACCGCCACCAGCAGAATGCGATGTGAGGGAGACTTGAAATGGGGGAGCACAACAAGCTCCTTCTCCTCTCCTCCTCCCCTCTGTAGTTTTCCTCTCTTCTGCTCATTCGTCTCAGCTTTCTTCTTGCCCTCACCTTGCTTTTCACTCTGCCAGCCCTTCCTTCGCTCACACGGCGGCGGTAAGCTTTCTTCTTGCCCTCACCTTGCTTTTCACTCTGTCAGCCCTTCCTTCACTCACACGGCGGTGGTGGCTCCTCCTCTTCACACTTCCCTCTTCCTTCCTCTCCCCTTCCTGCCTCCCTCCTCTCTCTTTCTCTCTTCTGTCTCTCAGGACGCCCATCAGGGACTAGATGAGGTGTCTAGTCTCTCAGGACGCCCATCAGGGACTAGCTGAGGTGTCTGTTCTGCACTCCCCCCCAAAATAAGGGGGGGGAACCAGGTAACAATAAACGAGAATGGGGAGCCCACAATTACTACTTGGGCTATGGTTCCCGCTACCACCCAGGCCATGGGGGAAATGCCGCAGCGCCACCCAGACAGCCAGGTGTGACAGAAGTATTTTTTCCTGTTTTCCTCCCTCTAAAATTACGTGCGCCTTATAGTCAGGTGTGTCTTATGGAGCGAAAAATACAGTATATGCTAATTGTAAGATAGACTGCTATAGCTTTGACTTGCTAAATTGAGCACAGCTGACCTCTCGTGTGTATCAACCTTCTACAGTTGTATAAGCCTTATTTTTGCCTCTTAACTGGGATTGGAAAAATGGGGTTAAATGCTAAAAATTCTATACAAACTCAAATGCTTGGCTCCTTTTTTCCTTACTGAAGGCAGATTTATTATTCTTTCCTGGTAGTGTTTTATTGACTCCCAAGAGAACCTTGAACCTAAAATGTGGTGGATATTAGCACTGTTCTGTTCCTCTTGCCCAACCTTCTGTAGAAGTTTCTTATTGATGCCTACTAGCCACAGCCCTCTCTATCTCAATATGATGTTCTAAACTGCAAGCACCAAGGCTCCTGGTGCAACAAAGTATGATGATATTGTTTGAGAAAAGTGGCTTATTTTTGTGGTCAATGTGACAGCTGGGGTGGCCTGCCCAGTTTGAGCGAGTTACAAAGAAAGAACCTAGATGAGGTTCACTTCCTAAGATAGCATCTAAAAGCACACCTGTTGACAATACTCCAAGAACAGCATCCTCAGCAAGAACTTTCTAGCCTTGTTTAGCAAAAGAAAACAAGCTAACTTGATACACTGTCACAGCAATGTGGTAACAGAGATGCATTTTAAAACCACTGCCATGGCAACAGAGCTCAAGCTACATATGCATAAACCCAACTATATCAAAGGAAAATTAACTCAGTAACTCAGCAGCAGCACACTCTACAGAATAATATTACACTGCACAGAATAAATTCTTGTTTGTAGAATGAAAGCTAAGAAAAGCAACAGAAGGGAAAACAAGGAAGACTGGATATAAGTGAAAGTTTCTTCTTATTAGTGGCTGAAGGTACCTTGAATTGTTATTTCTCTCACTTGCTCCTGAAGTTACTATTGTTTTGGCTTATAAAGGAGAACTCTCTGAGCAGTTTACAACATAATTATGCAAGGAGCACTTTGCCTCCCACACCAGTGAAGAGGTGAAAGGCTGAGTAAACCTTGAGATGGCTCCATGAATCTCTTGGGATTGAACTCAGGTCATGAGCAAAGGCTTGACTGCAGTTCTGCAGTTCAACCACTGCACCATGGGGCCTGCTAATTAGTAAAAAAACCCCTTTTAAATGCTTCCACGTTCAGTAAGACAGACAGATTCTCATGTTTCAAAAACTATACAGTCAAAACAGTTTAAAAAAAAACTGCTGTAAGAAAAATGCAGTAAAACCCTTGTATCCATGGGGGAATCTGTTCCATGATCTTCAGACTTCCCTAAATTCCTGAAACTACAGATGGGATATTTGTATTTGTAAATTAATATGAATATCCTGGACCCAGGTGTCAGGGATATCCAGGCTCGTCTCCCCAAACTGACCTGTCCACTTGTTGGTCATGACACAGCTGTAAGGCCAGCATCCTGCTCATCACGCCAATTTCCAACGAAACGCGGCTGGCACTTCTCCACCTTCCTGCTCTTCTGGCCACTCCAGCCAGGGAGTGAGATGATGAGTCTCCCCACTCAACTGCTGAGTGGCCAGAAGAGCAGGAAGGCAGAGCAGTGCCAGCTGGGCTTCATCAGAGATTCGCAAGACAAACAGGACACCAGCCCTGCATGTTGCCCTGCAATCCATAAGTGGATGGGTCAGTTTGGAGAGGTAGGCCTGGGGATCCCAGACACCTGGGTCCAGGATATTCGCATTCATTCACAAATACAAACATCTCATCTCTACCTGAAACCATGGATAGTGGTGAACACTATACACCAGGAGCCCCAACCTTTTTCACCCCACATACCAGCTGGGGAAGGTGGGGCACCCCCCACACTTGTGTGCACAGATGTGTGCATGCGCAAATGGCACTGCAGCACTTGTGCATTTGCAAATGGCAGTGCAGCACTTGTACAGGTGCGTGCTTGTGCACATGCGCAAATGGTGGCACGGAACTCGCATGGGCACGCTGGAGTGGGTGCACTGGAGCATGTGCACATGCGCAAATCAGCTGTGTGGGAGTGAGTGTGGTGGTGGGGTGGAGTAGGAGGTCTGTCTCCATGGCTCGGTCAGGCTCAGGCCACGGACTGGTACCAGGCTGCAGACTGGGGGGTTGGGGACCTCTGCTATATGCAACATATAAGGAGACAGGAGAGAGGCCACAAAGCTTGTCCCTTGTATGCTTTATACAGGACTGCAGTAAACCATAGATAACTGAAACTGCAGATACCAGTCCCGTGACTATGGGGGTCCTATTGAATTATAAATAAAGGTGAGGTAAGGACAGAAGCAATGGTCACACAAAGAACTCAAATTATGCCTACCTGCCTCAGAAATCACAATGAGTCATTCTTTCTCTAGTTTATATAGTAAGGAAACTTTATGATGAGCCTGGTTGGGGCTGGATAGGAATTCATCCATGTTTGCTGAGAGGAAACCCTCACGATTTCGCAGATATGCAGGTGATGGTTCAAACTTGAGTCTTCAGTTGTTCTCCTCAAGCAATTGTCATGCCATCTCCCATTAAAAACAAACTGTTACTAAAGCTAGTTGCTTACTACCCTCTTTCCCCGAAACTAAGACCTAATCTGATAATTCAAGGATTTACTACCTTATGAACTTTGCAATGAAAATCACAATAGCAGACTCTATAATAATAGAAATGTGTGTGTATATGTATCCACCATAACACCAAAAAGGCATATATTTTTAAAAACTTTAGAAAACAAGCAAACCAAAACTCTACAAGGATAGTAAGGAGGCCCTATGATCGTGTACTCGGAGTTCTACTTAAAATGGACTAATACATTTTAGTTGATCAAAATTTCTTCTTACTCTTAACAGACTTCCCTAAAATATAGGAAAAGAAGCTGAAGGCAACCTGAGGTATGCATTTCTGCAGAAAAACTATAAGGAGTTCCACCTATACTTTCCTCCACATGGCCTCCTGCAAAAAAGTTAAGGGAGAAAGACAAGGGAAGGTCCTGCCATCTGGTAACTGCAGGGAGAGGAGAGTGAGTTGAGAGAAGAGCTGATGAGAGAAAGAGGAGCTGTGAAGAAGAAGCAGTGGAGCAGATGGGGAGGGGGGAAAAAAAGAAAAAGTGTTGGGGCATGGACAACACTAAAGGGACAAAGGTTTCTCATTTTTGCAAAGCTGGTAGTTCTAGCATTTTGAGATAGAAAGTAAGCACAAGACTGTTTAAAGTTATTTTACAGGTGAGAAATTAACAGTAAATTCTCAGTCTGCCTTCTTGGGGGGAAAAACTGAAGGCACTGCCCTACTCACCCTTTCTCAATCTTGACTGCCCTCCAGTGAAATCATCTTCCTCATCTGGTAGTGGCCATTCTTCAGGGGCAACATTCTGGCTTCCCTGTCTGAGAGCTGCTTCAATATCAGCCATCTCTTGGTGGAGTTTCTTTAAGTTGTTTTGCATGGCATCTCTCTGCTGTAAATGCGGAAAAAATAGAGATGACTTGCCTGTGATAAACTCTCTTTTCAGTGAATGAATGCTATCACTATGTGCCACTTGAAGAGAGAGAGGTTATTATGAAGGAGGATTTTTTTATTTTTATTTTTAGTTGTGGTACTCCTGATTCAGGGAGACAAGCCTGGTGCTTGCCTTGTCTTTCATTAGCTTTTATTTGGTGTTGAAAACTACATGAGGTTTTTAGCAGAAGGAATTTGGTGTAGGTATAGAAATGATTAGTACAAGAGCACATGTTGGCAGCACTTGTTTCCTTGGTCAGCTTTTGTCCCAGGGTTTCTATTTCTGCTAGCAAGAAAACTCAACATTTTCATTGAAGATAATGCATGCCCCCCTTGTTTTCAAGAAGAATCATGTTCCAGTAGCTCCCCAGAAATATGATTCCACTTGTAAGGCACATGGGAAGCAAATACCTTATTTTATTTATTTATTTATTTGATTTATACCCCACCTATCTGGACCACTGGACCACTCTAGGCAGCTAGAGTGGGGGGAGTTGCCTTCTCCTCATCACTCCTGCAGCAAATTTGGTAGTGGAGAAGTGCATCTCACTGGAAAGGTTGGTGGTGTCAACACAGCCCCATGACCTATTGAAGTTTCCTACCCTGGTTTAGATAAATGAATTATCTCTGACATTTGCTTTAGTTGCATTGGCTAGTCAAATTAAGCTTCTTCAGGCAGCTAGAGTGGGGGGAGTTGCCTTCTCCTCATCACTCCTGCAGCAAATTTGGTAGTGGAGAAGTGCATCTCACTGGAAAGGTTGGTGGTGTCAACACAGCCCCATGACCTATTGAAGTTTCCTACCCTGGTTTAGATAAATGAATTATCTCTGACATTTGCTTTAGTTGCATTGGCTAGTCAAATTAAGCTTCTTCTTGAGGGACGTGGTGACGCTGTGGGCTAAACCGCAGAAGCCTGTGCTGCAGGGTCAGAAGACCAGCAGTCGTAAGATCAAATCCTCGCGACGGAGTGAGCACCCGTCGCTCGTCCCAGCTCCTGCCAACCTAGCGGTTGGAAAGCATGCAAATGCAAGTAGATCAATAGGGACCACCTCGGTGGGAAGGTAACAGCATTCCGTGTCTAAGTCGCACTGGCCATGTGACCACGGAAGATTGTCTTCGGACAAAACGCTGGCTCTTTGGCATGGAAACGGGGATGAGCACTGTCCCCTAGAGTCGAATACGACTGGACAAAAATTGTCAAGGGGAACCTTTACCTTTACCTTGATTTTCTCAAGCAGAACACCTATGAGTTTCATGGCTTCACACAATGGAGAAGCTCAGAAGACAATAAAACAGCGACTCTACTTCTAAAAGTTAACTGCGACTGATTATTGTAGAACTATAAACAACAGCACAGAAAAGGAAGAAGGGAGAAACTGGGAAGAAGGTAAATCTCAAGACTCAAAGTATTTTGATTCAAAGTTCTAGGAGGACCCTTCCAACATGTTGAGAAGCAGTAAGACATCCATACATGAGTAGGATAACCTCTATCTAGTGAATTAACATAATAAATGCAGTTATCCTTTCTCTTTTAAGTGGAGAACAGCATAGCATAGAATGTCCAGAAGCCATTTCATCCATGGATGGGTATCTTGCTGCATCTGGAATCAGTTCTGGCATATCTGGCAAAGTAACTGTCTCTTAAATAACGCATCTACAGAGAAAAAGGTGGTCAGCTGGTAATGGTGGTCAAAGATGAGTAAGGAAAATTGTCTGCCTATATCAGCTAGAGGTGGACTAATACACAAAGCTACATTGTCAATGGAGTGCAAAAATGTCTTTAAAAATGTCTCCCCACTAGGTATCCGATGGAAGGAAGATAAAAAGGGGATCAGTCAGAAGTCTTTTGCATACTCTGAGAAAAATGTTAAGTACACTACAATTCCTAATAAAAGTGCAACATTCATGTCCTTGAAGAAGGCTGAAAAGACTAAGCAGAAATACAGCAGGCTTTTAATTTGGAATAAAGTGTATACTATAATTTTTACATCCTGGAACCATAGTTTCTTCTTGCTTAACAGCTTTGGTGGATGTACCAGTTCCTTTTTGTTATTTTCCATCTGAGGACTTAGACAGCTGAAGATCTGATTAGCTTCAATCTTAGAACATGTGACTTGTGGTGGAAGCCCACAACAGTAGATTACCCACCATGCCAGATATGCATCTGTGGTGTGCAAATGAACTGATTTAGGGCCTTCAGGTTTAATGATATCCCCATTTCCTGTTCCTTTTCACAACTTTTCTAGTAGATTGAGCAGGTACTGCAAACACCATTCTTGTAACAATGTGGATTCTATGGCCTAAGTGTCCAAGCAGATGATGGATGACCTAGAGGAACAATATAGGTTTGCTGGCTTTCTTTGATTTGGAGGAAGAACTATGCCAACAGATTGTTGATGAATTTCTCATAATCACCCTCTTTATTCATCTGATGTACCTACTGATCTGTAGAAGAGGACTTCCTTGCTTGATAAAACAGCTGGAAGGTATATCCCATGTGGTAGACAAGGTTGACAGCAGCTGTTAAGAAGTCAAATTCTATACATGGGTAATCAGGAAAGTGACTGGAGAATAAAACTGGCAATATAGCAATGCCTTTATATAAACCTATACTGTGGCTACTACTAGCTTTCCAGAAAGTTTTCACTCCTTTTATTCTATCTTTCCTTGCCACAGCTTGTCTGCAGCCATGTCTGAAACCATCTCATACCTGTGTGGTGAGGATCTCGCTCTGGGAGGACAGGCCCGAGGAATCTCCCAAGTGGCTAGCTTCACTATCATAGACGAGGGTCTCTTCATCTTTGAAAGTCCAAATAAATAAATAAATAAATAAAGGAAGGAATAATTCAAACATGACAAGTTAAAAAGTACAGAGAAAAATAACAATGACCACCAAGGGCCTTATTTTTTATTCGTGCAAAAAAGGTTGCTGAGCACACTCTCCTTAAAGAATCTAGCAAGCTTTGGTTCAAAGAGAAGCAAGAGGATATGAGGGAAGTTAGGAAGATACAGAGACCAGCTTTGTTACAGAATCAGAATGTAGACACAGATGGGATCAGCAATGACAAGACTACAGAAATGAAATGTTTCCAATTCCTAGACAGCAGAGATAAATGGCTAATTACTGAAACTGTTCAGTGCTGGACAATATCAATAAGCGAAGTGTGAGAATGCAACAGAAGAATCTTGGAAGGTGTGGGGACAGAACAGAAATTCTAAAGAAGAGGAACTGCCTCTTCACTGCTCCCTCTGGGGGCAGAAAAAAATGAAGCAACCCTACTTCATTTGCATACTTTATTAAATCTTGTTTTCAGCAGAGAATAGACACATCTTTGCATGTGGGCAATTTGAAACTCTGAGCGGATTATATTACCGAATCATTACTGCTTGGAAAACTAATTTCTGCTTTAAAGAGGACAGAGAGCTAGACACCTAATTCTCCTCACATTACATACACATTTTAACTTTTTCTATATATGATGACAACCTATAACACATCATTCAGTTCAAATCATTTTTAAAACCACCGGTGGCCGATGCTGATGAATGCCATAGCTTGCATCAGAAGTGAGGATTGGGAACTGTAGAGAAGTTGGCACAGGAAGCTTTCAGGAGCATGGTCTGACACACACCCACACACACACCAAGCTACTGGGTCCCAGCTATAGCACTGAGAGAGCTTTTCCACCTGGTGCTTTAATTAGATACCAGATCCACTGCCCTTTATGCAAGGAAGGAGGAGGAGAAACAAAGTTCTCTCAGCAAGTGCTTGCAAATGCTAACTCAGAATACTCATGTCTAGAGATGGACATGAATGAGAAAAATGGTGATTTATCTTGATTCATGATTTGTCGAGGTCAACAAATCATGAATTATACATTTATAATTTTTTTCCTGATGAATCATTTATCAATGTGCTTTTTACTTTAAAACCCTACAAAAGGGATGCCACCCAAGGATCTAAAGACACCAAAATTGCAGGGAGGTTTCCCCTGACCCATTCTCTACAATCCTGCAAAAATCTGGTGAAGTTTTGGTTTCAGGAGTCCGACTAATACACCCACAAGGAGGGCTCCCCAGGTACTGAGAAGTGTCTACTGACTCACGTCTACAATCCCTCCAAGTTTGGTGAAGATTGGGTTTCAGACACCCAAGTTACACTTCTATGAAGTGGGTCCCCCCTAGGAAAATGCCCCTTAGCAGCTGGCTTGGGGAAAACCATCCTCAAACTTGGAGGGATTGTAGAGGAGTGTCAGAGGAAACTTTCATGCAATTTTGGTGTCTCCAGGTGCTAGGGGGGTATTTTATAGCGAAAGGAATACCGTGTTTCCCTGAAAATAAGACAGGGTCTTATATTAATTTTTGCTCCAAAGAATGCATTAGGGCTCATATTCATGGAATGTTTTATTATTTCATGTACAACAATCTACATTTATTTAAATACAGTCATGTCATCTTCTTCTGGTTGCTGCACAATGGTGGAGGGCAGGGTTTCACTTAACTGGGGGGCTTATTTAGTATATTTGCTTATACTGTACTAGTATCCTGGAAAAATCATACTTAGGACTTATTTTCAGGTTAGGTTTTATTTTCGGGGAAACAGGGTAGATGAATAAAATATTGATAAAATTTTGTTCATTCGGATTCATTGTGGCCATTGATTCGTACACATTTGACAATTCGTATTTTAATTCAAGCCCATCTCTACTCATGTCTGTTGCAGTAAGCATCTCCCTTCCTTGTATTCAGTATGTTTTCAGCAAAACTTAATATAACTTAGAAGGCATGGATAGTTAAGAAACAAAGAATCATGGGGTTTGTAACTGCTCTAAAAGGAAAATAGAAACAAGAATCATTTGGCCTTTCAAATGCAGTAAGATAGCAACCTTCCTGGACATCTAAAAAAAGGCAGTATCACCATCTCTTCCTGGGATGTTTCTGTATCTTGGCATGTAACTTGTAAATGTATGCTAACTTGTAAAATAACATGTTGCAACACAGAAACGTGATCACATCTAAACTAGTGAAAGAGGCACAAAAAAGATGGCTCAAGTTAGAGATGGGTATTTACACACACAAAATTAAAAATTAAAATATTAGTAATTGCAACTTTGTACCTAAATGGGATTGTATATTCACGCCTTCATGCCGTGGATCCTTCAGTGGCTCAGTATCTTTGTAGGCTTTACTGCTGGATTTCATGGTGTCTTTGTTCCCACTGAGACTAGCCTGTGCTCCTCTGGAACTAGGGATTGCAGTCAACCATTTTGAGTCACAAGGCTTACTGTCAGAGTCCCCAGATGTAGGTGACTGGGAGGAAAACAAATTCACTGAGCCTTCAGACTCCTGGCTTAGACAGACGTCCTCATCCTTCTGTGAGAGGTTACTTCTACTGGTGCTCCTCAGTGCTGGCATCTCCGCTGCTGTTTCCTTCTCTTTCAGAGACTGTGATGATGTGCCAAATAACAATGCCTGGAGGCTTGGCAATTCTTCATCTTCACTGGAATCTTCCTCTTCTGAGGATGGCAGCTTCCTCACCTGTCTCCGTCGTCCTACAATGGGACCTTTAGTCTTCAACTTGGAGCTGCTTTGGTCACTGTTCTTCAGGTCTCTGCCAAGAGGGGATTGCTTGCCTGTTTTAGCAGACACAGCTAAGATGTCTGATCCATCAATTTCCCGAAGTTTAGATGAGCCTTCCTTTTCATTGATGGGGTCCAACAACCCATCTGGTGTCTCCACTGAAAGCCCAAAGCTTTGGGATTCCTTCTCAGAGTCCTGTTCCATCTTGGGAACAAAGCACTTAGGGATACCTACACTGGAAGAATCAGTTGCTTCCTCAAGGTTGCTATTCAGCTGCTTTTTTTCCACGCTGCTTCTTTGCTTTTCAAGGAGGGAACAGCTGAACTGAGAACATTGTGACTGACAAACTGCAAGATGTGGCTGAATCAGCTCTGGCTGAGACCTTAATGCTAGCCCTTGGCTTTCAGCATCTACAGATCCTGCATCCTGCAAGTGTTCTATATTAGAATCTGTCTCATTAACATGGCTTAAACTGGCACCTTGGAAGCTGCCATTTCTCCAGCCCTTTGGGCTTCTGTTGCTGCCGCCACCATTTGGGCTTGCAGGTTCTCTTCCTATTTCTAGAGATGATATTTTATCAGTTGCTGGTTTTTTACTTTGAGGGTGATTTCCTCCCTTCACGTTCTTGGCAGCTGACTCCAGGGGCATAGACAGAAGATCTGAGAATGGGGTTTGTGAAGCAAGCTGCAGGTGCTCAGTTCTGTTCTTAGGCTCTGGAAAATCAGAGGCAGAGGATGCCAGTTTTTGGACAGAGATGCCTCTGTTTTCCCCACATGAAACAGCTTCTTTTCTCTCCTTGTTTTGAGTGGGTTTCTTTATACAGTGAGCCTTGTCATCTTCTACTCTGCCAATGCTCAACTTCCTTTGAATTTCTGTAGCATGTTCCTTCACTGGACTTGTATGGAGCAAGAATGACTGGCGTTTGCAGCAGCTAAATATCTTTTTCATGAAGCCTGTGTCCACTTCACTGTCATCTGTTTCTGGATTCGGCTCCAAAGTTCCTGCAATTTTATCAGCTGTTTCAGGAGGCTTGCAGCTTCCTCTCATATCTTCTGTGGAAGACCCATTGCTTTCTGCTGCCTGAGCACACCATGCACCATTCTCAGGTTGATTTGCTTTCCACTCTTTGTCCTCAGGAGTGGTTTGCTTCACGAGCTTAGGCTGAAAATGCAGAGAGGAGCAGCTGCCTTGAGAGTCTGTCCTGTGAACAATGCAACAAGGACTGAGGCTCTCTGGAGTTTGTTCAACACTCGTATCTTTCATAGTTCCTATCACACAAGGAGAGATTGCAGGTTCAACCCATGTCTCACCTACTTTGCCTTCCATGCCCCTCAAATTGGTATCACAATGAGTTATGTTTCTTTGTAGTGGACCCTGCAACACACTGGGGTCATCTTCTGTTGCAGAGGGAGATAGCATGATCTCTGCTTGAGACCACCTCCGTGTCTTGACTCTCCCATCCATTTGCTTTCTTTCTCTCTGTGCTGGCTCACTTCGCCTCCCAGTGCCTTCCGACTGCAGCTGAAACTCCTTGTCCCCATTCCAGACTTCTTCCGTGAGCAACTGAAGTCTCCTGCTCCGCCTGACTTTTTTCTGGCCAGTGCCCACTTCACTTGGCTCCTTGACATCTACCTGTATCTGGGCCATCTCAGGGGATTTAGACCTTCCATCCACAATCAGCTCTAAAGGACCAAATGCTTTGCTTAATGTTTTGCCTCTCTTGCCTGACAAGTTCTTTGTCTTCAGATTCAGATTTTTCTGGTCTGACTCTGGCCATTTGCTCTGGGGCTCTTCACTTACATCAGCTTCCAGAATGGACATTCTTTCCTTGACAGGCAAGTCTGATGGCAACTCTGCTACTTCTTGCTCTGCCACAGATCTGTCACTGTGAGGAATGAAGGTTGGGTCGCACACTTCTGAAGACATATTGTCGTCTTTAACAAGCCTCTTACTACTTCCTTTCATGCCTTGCCTTTTGATGAAGTCCTCAGGGGTCAGTTCTGAGGTGGCCTTCCTCTTTCGTGTCGTGTTTTTTCTCATGAGACTCTCACAAGGTGTTGTGTTTGCAGCAATGCCTTCCTCTGTTTGGATGTGGGTCCTTTCCCTCTCATTCCGAAATGGGGTTGACTTGCGTTCTCTCTTGTACGTTCTCCCAAATACTTTATCTTCAATTTTAGAGGCAGTTGGTTTGAATAAAGGTCTGTCTCCATGTCGCACTGTGATCTCACCCTGCTCCTCCATTGGTTCAATCTTCTGAGAGACACAAGAGACTGCATCTGACACATGGGTTGGGTTGAGATCCCAATCCACCTCCGCAGTCTGAAGATCTTGTGGGGGGCTGGAAGAAAGGACTTCCTGGCTCTTAGAAAGCCACTCACTGACCTTCTGGATGCTCCGCATCAGTCTTTTCCCAGTAATTGGACTGAAAGGACTGTCAGGTGAACTCTGGGAAGGCAGCACCTGTTCCTTATGTTCATCCAAAATGTGTGCACTTCCAACAGGCTGCACATCATCAGCTCCTTCTGCACCACCCTCTGCCTTTTCATCTGTAGTAGGCTCTACAACTTCACCACCCAACTGTGCCATACTCAGTATTGAGTAAGAACCATCTTCCTCTATGGAGCTGCAGTCAGATTTCCTGCCAAGCTGTCCCATGCAAGGGTGGGGAAAAGACAAATCCTGGCTCTTCTTCACAGCCACATTTTCCTTGATAAATTCCAAATGTTCAGGGCTATCTCGAGCCTCTTCTATGCTTTGTAATCCATCCTCCAAAAGAACTCCTGTACCTGAAAACAGAAGAGCTTAGAAACGTAATTGTTTTATGTCTCTCCCTTTCTTCCTAGAAACTCCTTTCCATACCTATTTGTCTCATTTCAAGCCTAACCTCTCCCAGCAACTTCATTTACAGCTGTTCCATTCCCAGCCTCATATCCTGACTCAGCTGCCCAGAAGAGAAACTAGTTCTTTGGCTGCTAAGATCAGATGATGATACTGGACTACCTGTGTGCACAGACAGAAGTGACCAGATCTAGAATAATACAGAGTATGAGAAGTCCAATTGGGGTATTCCAGACTGCAAATTTATTTAGTAATAGGGTCTATATCTGATTTATAGTGAAGACGTTGACAACTTATTCTGCCTTGGTATACTGATTAGAGAAAAACCAGAACAGTAATCGTAATTTGTATCTTTTTTCCCCTCACCTACTAGAACTAGCCCAATCTACAAGTGACATTAAGAAGTTTTCTAAGAAAATGGCTAGAATCCTATTGCAAAATACCCCATGTGTAAGGGAAATTACTGTCTGTCGCACGCCCAAGCACACAACCTGGTGAGTGATCTGAATATGTCTGAGAATGCAGCAGACATCTGGAATGATCACATACACCAATTACACAACTTAAGGTATACCCTGGGCCAATGCAATAGGATTTTGGCCATTTGACTCATTCACTTTATTTTCAAAGAAAAGCATCTGGTGGAACTGATCTGAGCCCTGCACTAGCTCCTTGCCAAAATCACCCTTCCCAGCTCCTGTTTGCCCTCAAAAATACTATTTCCTACAAACAGAACCCTCAGAGCAAACAGCAGCCAAGAAGGCAGAAATTTGGTTAGAATTGATACAGGGCTCCAATCTAAATTAAAAGTATGGCTGACGTCCGGGCCTTGCAAAGAAGCTTCATTTTTTCAAGATGAAAACGACCAACTTAAATAGTTTTTTAAAAACATTTTTTACACAATGTACACAGTTTAGCCCTAATACTGGAATATTACAAAAAAAGACTGAAAAAACAGCTCTTGAAGCCTATTTTATAATATAAAGATATCAAAGCTGCTCACATGATTAAACCATTTAATTTGCAGTAAGTTGTTTTTACAAAATATTCTCATCTCAAAGGTGAACTGCCACCTTTATTCCACATGTTCAAAAACCATATCTGCAACTGTTTGTACTATAACTAAGTAAGGTGTTATTTATCAGGAATACATCACTAGATTCTATGGATGGCAGTGGAATTTGTTTGGTTTAGCTTAATATAAACCAAACCAATCTATACTTCCTAAATTAATACCAAAAAAATGATGCATAAAACATTTTCCCCAAGCAAAAATACTTGCAAAAAGGTGGAACAGTGAAAACTGAGTGCAAAAAATTTGGACAATATTTGTGGGCATTTAAGAAAACAAACATGATATGGGATAGGGTGAGAAAATATTATTACAGCGTTTTTACAGAATTTTAGAAACATCATAGAAAGGAAATCAATGTCCTCCATCTCTACTAATTATGTGCCTTGGATACCTCTCCTAAATAACATGTTGACTACAGTTCCCAAAATCTTTCATCCAGTGTAGCCTATAACTATGCTGTCTGGGGATAATCTAAAAAAGTATGTTGGCAATCCTGCCAATTAGGCTTTGAGCTAGTATGTTTTAAACAGAAGTAATCTCTATTACCGTATTTTTCGCTCCATAAGACGCACAGACTTTCCACCCCCTGTTTTGTGGGAAAAAAGTGTGTCTTATGGTGCGAAAAATACGGTAATTTCTCAACACTATGTAGCAGCAGATTTTAAGACTAAGGGGGTTCTAGTTACAACTAATTGTGTTAGCGGACTTTCTGCTCAATAAAATATAACAAGAGGCATACTAAAGCCCTTACCTATACATAAACCCTTCCATCAGCTGGTAACAGTAGCAGGCAGTCAATAAATATCAACGAGAGAGGGAACTAGCTTGCAGTTTGCTTGCAATATCAAACTTGCTGGTCACTTGCAATATTTGTATTTCCTGACTAAGACCACACTGCTGGTAGCCTTATAGCAAACTCTGACCCAAGAAAAGCCTGCTAACTTAATTTTACAAGAAACCTGTGGGCTAACTACCTGGAGTTGTGACATCATGAGGACATTTGAACTCTTGTTTTAAGTGCCCCATCTGGAGAGAAACCCCATACCTGGGATTTTCAATGATGCCCCATCTTCAGTACTTGGCTCAGGAAGCTCCACATGACAAGGGTCTGTACTTTGGTTCTTGGTACTCCCTCCACTAATTTGAGTATTCTTTTCAAAACCCATGCTGTGGAAAAGAAGGAAATAAGAATGTCCCAGTGATCAATGCATTAATGTATTGACAGCCTCTTTAAAACCAGGCTCTATTCTGAACCCTTCTCAGAAAACTAAAGGAAGTCAGAGCCAACACAGGGATATTGGTATAGAACTTAGATCAGTGGTTCCCAGCCTTTTCAAGTTGTGACCACTTTCTATAATAGCCAAGTAACCTGTGACACACGCACCCCATGTTTGTATAAAAAGGCATTTTAAATAGGGTAAAGTCATCTGTTCTCAGAAAGTTAGAGGCTTCTTTCTCCTGGAAAGGGTATACTTCTCATATACACACATACATGCTAAATTTAATATCCCACTATGAAACATCAAAGAAATTACTTAACAAGAACTACAGCACATATAAAGTGACCCACAACCCCCCAGAAAACAAACCCCAGGTTGGGAAACATTGACTTAGATCTTTCATTGTTTCCTGGAGAGTGGCAGGGCGATGGAGTAGAACTGGAGGCTGAGGACTTTATAGGGACTTGTTTTGCAACTAGCTCTCTCAATCGATAATTCTCCCATCAGTTCAGGGAGACAAAGAAAGATGAGGCTGACCCTCCCACTTTTTAAACCTTATTTGTTCCCCCTCCCCTCTTTCTTTCATACACACATGCATATTCTCCCAAATTATTTCAGGAAGTTCAACAGTAAGAGAGGATTTGCACCATAAGAAGGAGGCGAAGCTACTGTTTGGCAAATACTGTATCACCCTAAATATTGAAGTGGCCAAGCAACATCCGGCTGTATTCTCGAAGGGCCAGGGATCATTGCACAAAAAAAAACCAGCTAACGACCCCCATCGACCACAGTGACAGATAATCTCTCCCTCCCCCTCCCTTATCACAACAAAAACATGCTGATCACGCTATCTCCTGAAAAAAGACAAAAGCTGTTCCCACAGGTATAAATACTTAACTATCCAACAAACAGCAACAGAGCAAGGACTGAGTTCCTACTCCAGTCCTCTGAAGATGCCGGCCACAGCGATTGGCGAAACCTCAGGAAGAACAACCTTCAGAACACAACTAAATAACCCCAAAAACCCACAACAACCAACATCTGGCTACCTGTCACAAGGTTTTGGCCTTTGCCCCATCTCCTTTAAACTCCATCAAGCATTGTTTGTTAATTGTACTGGAATCTTCTCCACCCCTCCCGTACTGAATTAAAATGTTATTAATAGGTTACTATAGTGTTTTTACACTTAATTATTCATATTGTTTCTTTCATTGTTATTGTTTTACTATGACTAGGTTAAATTTGATATATTATCTGCTCTCAGCTTCTTTTTGGAAAGAGAACATTCAGTTGAGAGCAATGTATTTTTCTGGTTTTGCACACACGAACAGAACAGTTAAGCTATTAAAGTACAGCAAGTCCTAGTGTTTCAAAGAAGCTAAACACAGCTGTATAACTACCCCTGCAGACTATCATAGGAAACAGGTTAAGGTTTCATGCACATATCAAGATAGTGACAAAAAAGAAAATCCTCCAAAACAAATCACTCCCACTGGGGAGGGAAAGAAGCAAAGGTCTCAGTGAGTCATCACAGAACTACTGACTTTTCTGACCCAACTCCAACAGTATAACCTACTGCAGCGCACACATGCTTTGCAATTCTGGAGTTGCTCTCTGCTCCTTTGCCATGGGAACAGCAAGATCCAATTTTAATACACAACAGGAAGATGGGTCTGTGGCGTTTACCCCGTGGCCCCTGCTTGTTTCACCAAACACAGAGCTCACACGAGTATCCCAACACTCCCATTAACACGCTGCCACCAGTTGATCACTTTATCAGCTTATATTTCCTATGAAAGACTGAGGTCCATTCAGTACTGAACTTTTAAACCGAAATAGGTTTATTAATTACATATTTTAGGAATAGTTCTTAAGCACAATCTTAAAGTTACACAACGCTTCAGTATTTTACTTTAATCTCTTCTATCTTAATTAATACAGGTCACTCTGACTAATCACTCCTTAAATTCTCTCTCTACCTCAAACCCAAACGATCTCTCTTCTCTGTCTCTGACTGAACTGACTAGACTCTGACTCACCCCTCCGTTCTAGTTTCTCTGGCTCCACCTCCCAACAGCTCCCATTGGCGCAGGCCAATATCATTATATATACAGCAAGACAAGCTGTGCGCTACAGAGGCAGGCAGCCATAGAAACAGCACACAGTCTTGTTATCCTTGCCTTAAAGATCATTAGTTGACTCTGATTAGTCCAAATCAACACAGCAAATTCTCACCCCATGGTATCTCTTTACATTCACTACGCTTTTCACTCTCCTGCATCCTTTAAGTGCATGTGAAATTCTCTCAAATGCACTTCTTCCTTCATCCCTCCATTTTTCCAACTCTTCACTTCTTTTCTTCGCCTCTACCTCCTCCAGCTACAGTACCTTTCTTTCAATTGTATGTTTCTGAATCCTGTACGATGCTTATTATCCTTTTAAACTATTTTGTATTTTGACCCTCTTCTTACTCAACTACCTAGCCCTATCGCTATGCAGTCACAACCAGTGAAAGGGCCCGCATACTTAGATTACAAGTTTGCCTATAAACATATGGAGCTTACTTTAAAAATGGGAACTGGTTATATGTGAACAACCCTGAAGACAAGCGTGTTTAATGTTCACATTAAAACATGTTGGGACACATCAATAAACTTAACTAGGATCAGATGCTTTAAATAGCTGCCCTCATGCAGATGTTCAAGATCCACACATCTCTCAAGAAAATATGCTGTCTTGCTATACAGTATATGGTTTTACAAGGGCATCCCTATAACCAGTTCCCAATTTTAAACTAAGCTCCATTGCACTGGGGGTTCTGCAATGGTACATTCATTTTGTACAAGTTGTCAGGATTAAGGAGCAGAGACACCTGCCATTTTATTTTTATCACTTATAATTGTTATTTTCGCTAAGCTTTGAACACAAGTGCATATTAAAACTAAGACATTAATTATCCACTTCAGTGCGTCCGTGGTTGTGCTGCACAAAGATACCAGGATTGAATAAAACTTCCAATATGATACTACCCCCCCAACCCTGTCAATCAGCGCTGCCTCATCTTTTCCCCCTTCTATGTTTTCATGAACAGGGAAGGGGAACTTGAATGCTCTATACAGAAAACTTCAGCATTCAGCAAGCCATTGCTTCTTCTCCAGACATTTTCCCCCACAGGATGTTAAGCTGAAACTAGATTTTTATTGGCAAGATTTCTACCACACATGCTAGTATCACAACAACATCTCTAGAGTGTGATCGTTTTCTGATAGTTCATAAATGCTGTTAATATGAAGTGGTGGTTCCACTTACTTCCTGCCCGTGCCCATCTTCTTAAAGACATCTTCTGATGAATCTGACCCTTAAACAAGCAAGTTTTGCTGTTAGAATCTTTGACAGGGATTGGATTCAAAAACCATAGCCCGCACTGTTGACTACAGGTCAAGCAGCATCACGGCCATTCTTTATTTTCATATCCATTTTTTACCACCAAATGTCCCAACAAATCCAGGGTGACTGGAGTAGCAATTGTGCTAAAAGCAACTTTTAAATCAGAGGCATGTATTGACAGAGAACCCACTAGATTGCCTCACAGAACAGTTAAAGAAGCTAAACAGAGGCAGTGCAGTGTAATGGTTAGAAGACTGGGTTTGGATCTGGGAGACTGGAGTTAAAACCTCTGCCCCACTAAATAGTCTTGGTGTACACTGGGGCACTAAAACAATGCTACTATAAAGCATCAACCAAGATTTGCCATTACTCATCAGAACCTAACTGATAAAACGGCTATGAGGCTACAAGTTAAACTGCTGGGGGGAAAAAGACACCCCTCCCCACAAAATTTTATATATGCCCATTCAGGAATATAGAGATGCCGCTGCCTGGATGATATACAGGACAGAAGCATTACCATGTGACTATCAGTATTGTTTTAAGGGAATCAATTACTGCAATACTTACCAACTTCAAGCACAACCGTTTTACCAGAACTACTTTTGTTTCTCAGAGAGTACCTTGTGACAGTTCTATCACACAGTGGTAAGCTGGCTTTCTCATCCTCCTAAGGCATACACACAAAGGTGAGATTAGAAGCCAAATATCAGTGAGCCATCTAGAAGCTCATTTAATTTGATAATACTCTGCCTTCCCCCTGTAACTGGCACTGAATGTACCTTTCAATAATATTAAAAACAAGTATAGATAAAAACAGGCACAGACGAAAACACAAACTTCTAATGCTAAAACACAATTAAACCAACTAAACACAATCAGACTGTAAAATTAAAGCACAACTTGTAGTTAAAAGCATGACAGACCCTTTAGGCCTCTATATTCACAAAGCTAATCCTTTGGAGAGGAATATGTTTACAATTTTTACCACAGAAAGATCTCTCTCTCTGGCAGGATGACTAAGAGAAGTTTTTATGAATCGACACAGACACTTTGATTGCACAAAGCAATCAGAAATGAAGAGTAATCTGCAGAATGTGGGTGGGCAGATGAATGGGCAATCTAAATATGGTAGATCATGAAGGAAGTTTGTCTGCCTTCCTGTCTGATACTGACACTCTTACAGCCACAACAGAATTCATACTACCAGTCCATTTTTTGTTTAATAGGGGGAGAGCCTTCTCTACCATTCATAGCCATCTATTTATCCTTCAGGCTTTAGGTCACCCTGTTGAAGCTCCTACACAAACCCCCTTTCTTATATAGATCCCAGTAGTGGCCAGCTGATCTCTTGACCTTCCAGTCTTGTCTAACTTTGTAATTCTTAACTTCACAGCTATTGTAGTTTGCCCTATGGTTTAGGACACTGAAATCAATCAGTCCTTACTATTTTCATGAGTCTCTTGATGTTTCTTTCAGACCAATGGGTTTCTTTTATTTAACAGAGCTTTGACATAGTAAGCCAATGGCAAACAACAGGCCTATGGGAAGCCACCAGCAAGCACCATGGTCTTATTTCACGGCAGCTCAAGAGCCAGAGAAAAGAAAAGAAGTAATAATTGGAATGACCAGAGTATTGTTGTTCTCCAGTTTCTTGAAGGTGATTGCAATGCCAAGGCCATTTAGTTTTAAAAGCGCAATGGTTTATTATGCAGTCTCTCTTTTGGCAGTTATTCATTGATGCTTCCCTGCTATGCATTCACAGGGAAAATATCCCTCCCAGCAGCAATTTCGATGACTATTAAAATGCATTATAGCTCTGATATCCGAAAGCAACAAAAACAGCTTTCATTGAGACACTTCTTAAAAATAAGTAATTATGCTAAGTAGGAAAGACTACGTACTATTATTTTTTTTAAGTCTAGGAGGACCAACATAAGTGCTGATTTATAAAATTAAAATCAAAGTGAATCTACTGGGGATAGATGATCTGTCGCCGCCCCCCTTTCAATTGTGAAATGCATCATTTAGAATGTAAGCCTAAAGGCAGTTTGTCTGGTCTTTATTTATATATATAGGTATGTAAACTACTCTGACAGTCCTTCCAGCTGTAGAGCAGGATATAAATGTTACGGTACATATAAATCGTAATAAATAATAAAGTGGATAAAAAACAAAAGGAAAGAATTCTCTCTCACCAAGTAGGTAATTCCCTTTTTTCCTGCTTTCACCCTTTTCAGTCTGTCCCTGTAGCCTTTGCTGTCAATAACCAGCTGTTCACTCTGTGGGGCTGCAAAAGAGGCAATTTCTTTGGCTTTTTTGGGGAAACACTGCTCATCTGAAACTGAGAACAAAAATATGGGTAAGTAGCAGATCTTCATTTCACTCTGCAGAATTATGATGGCAAAAGAATTCATAAGTCATGTTGACCTAAGTAGAAAATATTTCTAAAAGTCCTGATCTTGCAAATGCAACCAAGCAGATTCTATCAGAAAGAAGCTTAGCTTTAAAGAAGCAAGAAGTTGTTAACCGTCTAAAGCAGGCACTCCCATCCTGGCATCCTCCAGTGATCAGTAACAGTCCTTATATGGTAACTGCACCAACATGCCATGCTGACTGGAGATGATGGGAATTATACTTTAAGATATCACGAGGTGGCCACATTCAGATGAATGATCAGTAAGCGTAGAAATGATTTGTGCACATAACGTTTTGTGCATTTAAACAAAGGAGGAAAAAGTATTACCCTTGCAAGACCATTTTTTTGCAACCCTCAGACTCACTAGAGTAAAAATAGAGTGTTGAAGAAACACTGCTTTGAGGGCTCCTTGAGGCTTGCAGATGAGGTTTCTGCTCTAGAGAGGTATCCTCCAACTCCCCTCCAACAAAAAACAATACTAGATTGTTTTATTTTTTTGCCTTTTTTGCCATTTCTAGGCCAACAGCAGGTACTACAGGCAAAAATTTGGCCACTAGATTTGTTAGTTATCCACCTCCTAATTCAGTTTGAATCATGATCCTGGTAAATGGCTTTAAAGTAATCAAAACTTGCATCCCAATGACAACAATTAGTCATCTATCTGGTACTTGGTGTTTATGGTTTTGACACTTGAGTATTTAAATCTCAGAAATGCTAAAATCTGAAATGCCAGTTAAATCCAGAATTTTTACATTTTGCAGTGCTAGTTATATTTCTCAATCTGGAGATATCTTTAATAATTTCACACTGATTGCTTCAGCACTTACAGAACATATCCCACATTTATAACATGCTCTCTCACAATGGTTAATAGCCTGTGCCTTTTCAGCATATGAGGTTCTGACACCAGAGGTTGGAGTTCAATTACACACCATGCCTCCTGTGAGCACAGCCAGCATGTATAGTCAAGGGCAAGCTGCAGTCCCAGGGTGCCCTCAGAAGAAGGGAATGGTAAACCACTTCTGTGTATTCTCTACCTAGAAAATCCTGAAAAGGGTCGCAATAATCCAGAATTGACTTTATGGAACATGATTTAAATAAAAACATTGCTATTAACACTAAACATCAATTAAAACATTATTTAGGTTGCAAATCTGTAACTACTAATTTGTGAGCAAGCTACATTGAACTCATCAGGAGTGAACTGAGCTATGAGTATCTCTAAAGAGCTACAGTGGTGCCTCACATTACAATGTTAATTCATTCCAGCGAAATCACTGTAAAACGAAAACGTCGTAATGCGAAAATAAAAAGCCCATTGAAACGCATTAAAGCCCGATTAATGCGTTCCAAAGGGTTGGAAACTCCCCGTCCAGCGAAGATCCTCCATAGGGCGGCCATTTTTGCTGCCTGTGCAGCGAAGAATCCATCCCAGAAAACAGCAGGGAGCCATTTTATTTCCCCGGCGGCCATTTTGAAACCGCCGATCGGCTATCGGAAAATCATCATTTTGCGAAGAATTGGTTCCCGAAGCAGGGAACCGATCATCGCAAAGCAAAAAAAAATAATAATAATAATAAAAAAAAACACATTCGGACCATCATTTTGCGATCGCAATTGCAATTGCAAAAAGATCGTCGTAATACGGGGCAATCGTAAAGCAAGGCACCACTGTATATGTATACCTAAGAAGCATGGATTCCAGTGGCCCTCAGCCCTATTCAAAAGCTACTTCCTCATGACCTAAAGATCTAAAAATTTACAGATGCAACCTAAGGCTAACTATGATAAATGTTTGAAAATGGGACTTTTGTACAACTCTCCTTCAAAATGGAGTAAACAACTCTCACACCAGCTAGGAAACAGAAGTTTGCCATAAGTAAAACCTAAAATAGCTACTGATAAAAAAAGTTGAAAGAGATATATTTTAACATCTAAACCAATACCTAGTGCAAGAAGTTTAATTATAAATTGACCATCTTTCCAGCATATGTCAAATCAAGCTGCACATGAGAGTATGCTGATGTGTAAGAGTTTCTACATGGACTGTGGGAATTTCAAATGATCACAACCAACTAGACTTGGAATATTAGGCTAAAAGTTTAATTTGGTCCACCAAACATCAGAGAGCTTGAAAACCTGTTTAGAGTAAGGCACATAAGAGAAAATCTTAATGATGATTAGAGATGGGGATGAAGTGTGTCTTGGTTCATGGGTCATCAGCTTTGATGAATTGCCCCCCAGTGGCCCAACGAACCACGAATCAATTTGTGGGTTCGTCCAGTCATTTTTTTAAAAAGACAGTCTGTGGGGCAATCTAAAAGAAAAAAAAGCCAAGCCCCCACAGGCTCCGTAGGCCACAGGGGCCTAGGAAGAGGAGGGAAGGGGGACCCAAGCCATCCCCCAGACCACTGTCTTTGCAAAGGCAGCTGGGGGATGGCTTGGGTCCCTCTCAGCCCACTGTCTTTGCAAAGGCAGCTGGGGGATGGCTTGAGTCCCTCTCAGCCCACTGTCTTTGCGAAGGCAGCAGGGCTGGGGGATGGCTTGGGTCCCCTTCCCTTCTCTTTCTATGCCCACCCAGGCATAGGAAGATGGGGGAAGCCTGACAGACAAAGGGATGAATATAAAATGGTTATATTTGTTGCTTCATATTCGTTGCGTCTTTGGACCTCAAGAATACAAAGCAACGAATATCTGATGAATCAGTGATATTGTTCAATATCACAATTTGTTTTTATATTTGTCCCCATGTCTAATGTTGATTCTTCACATAAAATGTCATCTCAGTTGTGTTATCTTTTATTACTTGCTATGATTTTAATACATTTCTGACAAGTAATCTTTTCTCCTTCTTTCCTTAAACAACTGAACAAAAAACCTCTCTATTGACTTAAACAATGGTTAAAGAAAAGATCACTGCTAAAGAAGGACTCAAAGATGCGGAGCAGCTGAAGCATCCTGTTTCCTTAATACCCCTTGGTAATCTCTTCCTACCCCAATGAACAATAAATTCACTAGCAACTTGAATAGAAGAAAATGTCATTGCCAAAGGACAGCTGTGTGCACGTGTGTGAGTGTGTGTGTGTGTGTGGAGAAAACTTTACCACCAAGGGTCCATTTAGTGAGCAGCATAATCTGAATGATCAAACCTGTTATAACATTACATCTATTTTTCACAAAGCTGCCAGCCCTGACTAATTTAGGAACTACAGATAACTTTTTTGCAGGACCATCATCAGTGACTTCCACAAATTAGTAACAACATGTGAAACCTTTATGCATTATTTCCATGTCAACTAAATAGCACATTTCAATGTACACTTCATTTACCACATAACGTGTGTACAAAGATTCCTCTTTCTCCTCTGTCTCCTAATGATCAAGTACTTGCCCAAATACTGTCTTATATTCCCTCTGGAAGAACCCAGCCTTTAAGAGTAAGGGGGATCCAAAGATGTAGAGCATGTGCAGCCCTCTCTCTCTATATTCATTCTTTGAACCCGATTTATGGAAAAAGGACTTCAGAAGATATTCCTGAGAACCTTGCAGGTTGAGACAAGATGTGAGGTAATGATAGACTGATATGACTAGCTATCTGTCCATTGTTGTAAGTTATTTTTTTATTGCTACTACCATCGCTATAATCACATTTACATTTGTATCCTACATTTTCTCCAATGAGTTCAAAGCAGTAGACTTCTGAAACTCAAGCAAAGAACAATATCAGAATCTGGGAATCAAGTTCGCAAGGCAGAAAATCAGTTGAGGAATTCTGTGTTATAACATTAAGAAAGTAATTCTGACTCAGCTAGCTTGCCCTCTTCTCCCCAAGCAAACTCTGGCAGAGATTGTGTGAAAATAGAATACCTACATTTGAAACCCGTATCACGCTCAAATGCATGGATGATTTCCAGCACCACTTTGATTACTTGCTTAAATCGGACATCTTCTCTTAGACTTCTGAAACAAGCAACCAACAACAGATATAGTCAAAAGGATGAAATGTATAATTTTCTCAAGAGTTCCCTGAGCAATTGAGCTGGGAGGGGAGATACTTGATGAAATGGAATAATGAAGACAATAATAATAAAGGTTTCCAAGGAGTAGAGGCTTCAGTTTCTGAGATGCTGCAGTCTAATTAAAGAATTACTCATTTTAGAACAAGCCAAGAGACAGCAGGCATTTTACTTTCTGTTTCGCAGCCATTTACACTGAAGGGGGCTTACTGTCAGAACAGCAGGTGATGTTTAAAACAGCAGTTTCCTGGCAATTTTGTACAGGATGTCCATTTCTCAAGGAAGCAGCAATGTGTTACAATCACCTTCCTTAACTAAGCACTAACCAATTGCACTTGATTATAATTCCCATCCTTCCCAGCCAGCACTTTTGGAGGGCAGCTGGCTGGAGAAGGCTGGATCAAACCATTGTCAGAATGCTAACTTCTAACTTTATTACTTCACTGGCTTCTCCTTTCTTATTAGCAAAACATATACTTTTAGAAGCAAGCAGAGGATTCCTTATAAACCTCCCCAATATCCATAAACCACTGTATATCTCTCCTCTGTCCTGCATTATTTCTCACACATACAACATATTGTTGCCATTGCAGGAGGGGACTCCAGCCTCCTATCTGTACCATTGCTTTCCTGAGACAAAGTCACAGTCTCTGCAAGGTTGTTTCATCTCATTAATTACCTCACTGATAAAATTACATTTGACTTTCATGAATTTACCTTTTGGTGACTTTGGCATTGCAAAGTGGACACTGTGCTACACCTTTCTTTTGTCTAAGAAGCTCCAATGTGCAGAACCTAGGAAAGGGGAGAAACAAGAATTTTAAATATTTGGACTGAAACATTGTTCTTATTTGAAGCCCTTGCATGCTGGGCCAAGAAACCAAGTAGCTCTGTCTTGTGTTGCTCTGTTTAGTATTTCAACTGGATCTCCAGGAGGTGAAATTTCAACCCTTTCTTCTTACCAGTCCTGCAATAGTGTTGTCATTTCTTAACCTTTGCTTCTCTGTGTTCCTCCTTCAGGAAGCAGAAAAACATAATGACCTTGCAGGAGCCTACATTATCCTATTTTTCTTTCTTTATTACAAGGTTTATCAATAATGACAAGCATAACATAAATATAATAAGTAGTCAAAGAGGTCAAATAAAAATAGTAACATATCACAAATCACACAAAGAACATCAATGAATCTTCAGTTCTGTAATTAAAGTGAAGATATAACAAGCTTATAAAATCTTGAAGGTCATTCCAAAATAACTTGTGGACGGGAAGTGATTGTTGAGAAGAAAAAAGTCTCCATTCACATAAGAGGTAAATAATGTCACACCAAGAAAAAGAAATCTAGTTCCCTCAAACCCTTAAATAGGAATGCTTAATTAATTAACACTTCAAGCAGGGAAATACATCATCACATATATGATAGATTATAGAATGCTATTCCAGTAAATTTCAACATGTGGGAAAATTCTTTACAACTATTTCCATAAGTATCAACTTCCAGGAAAATTAATGACCTTCAGGAAAGAAACCATGTTGTTTATGCAGATCTTTTTTGTCATTGTCAAACATTAAATAGTGTTCTATAAGAACTACTTAGGAGGTATATTTTAATGTTTAGTTTTAAATAGTTTTTCTTTCCTGCAGAATTTGGCAGCCACTTCACATTACTACATGTGTGGAAAAAACTCTTTATCAACATCAACTCCCATGCCAATGATGGGGCATTTTATGGATATAATAGAGCTTGCGTAACAATACAAAAAGATGAGTTTCAAAGCATTTTCCCTACAATTAGATCTACTCCATGGTCCCATCTACTATGCAGAGCAGTGCTTCCCAACCTTGGGTCCACAGATGTTCTTGGACTACAACTCCTAGAAAGAAATCCTGGCCAGCACAAACTAGAGGTGAAGGCTTCTGGGAGTTTTAGTTCAAAAACACCTGGGGATCCAAGGCTGGGAACCACTGACGTAGAGACAACCATAAACCTACTGGTAAAGCACAACCTGTATCTGAATTGTAGTCCATCCATTTTAGAAAACAAATCATTAGGAACTCTGAAAGACTAGGCCTTTAGCTCTAGACAACCTCAGAATAATCATGTGTTCAAACATGCTTTGTTTTAGGTTGTTTTCTTGTAAATGAACAGTTCATTTAGTTGTGATTCCTGATATCTCAGGCAAAAATCTTTCCAGCAGTAAGTGAGCCCTTCTAACTGAAAATGCTGGAGATTTATCCTGAATATCTATATGTAAAGGGGATGAATTGCTCCTCCATTGATGTTATATAACCAAGATCTGAGCATTGAAAATAGAAACTTACCTGCAAAAGATATGTGCACAATTTGTTGAGACTGGCTCCTTCATCACATCAAGACTATAACAAATAAAACATCAAAATGAGCCATTTCAAATACTGCATCCTGAAAGCAATGCTGAGAGCTTGTGCCAGAGATACAGCAACTCTAGTACTGTATGCTGCCAATAACTAAATAAATACATTCCAGGACGTTAATCCTTAAAATCTAAGAGGCTGATAACTGAACCAAGCCTTTATGGACAAAAGGCTATCGGTGGCGCATAAGACACACAGTGGAGAACACTCCAAAAAATTTAGAAGCAAGTCTTATATAGGGACAGATGAACAAAGACCATTGAATAGAGGAGTAAACCTAAAGAAGAGGAGCTGCAACAAGACCAGATAGCAACACTATTCTTATACAGTATTCACTTGATAATAGTGATAATTTGTGATAATAGAGGAAATAAATAAGTTAGTGGACTCCTCTAACAATAGTGGATTTAAGAGCAGGTGGGTTAGTCACTACAAATGCGTCTATGATGGTACACTGCTTATATTGGATCCAATATAAGCAGTATATCATCACAGACTCATTTGTAGTCACTAGCTCACCTGCTCTTAAATGAATGATATGTTAATCCACTATTATCATCAACATAAGACAGCTAAGTCAGTCTCAGTGCAAAAAATCAGGGAATGACAATCTAATATTAAAAAATGGCAACTTTCAGAAACCACTAGAAGGAAATTTGAGAAAGCCAATAAGAAAGCGGTCAGTCACAACTTGAGATTGGGAGAGAATGGACATCCTACTCCTTCCCCCTCTTCCTTTTTAAATAGGCTTCAAGGTGGATTTAATTTAAATCACTATTTAAACCACGATTTAAATTTTAAAAATCAGTTTTTAAAAATTATTTAAATAAAAAACAATTTTTCAAAATTTAAATCAAATTGCTTTTTAAAAATGTTGATTTTTATCCACCCTGTTAGGCTTACATTACCAGAGATTTAGATTACTTGGAAACACCAACATCAGAGCTTGTAGCAATATACTTAGTGTTGCTCTGTTTTTTTCACTGTCATGTGCCCTATTTTGTACACTTATTCATATGTGCAATCAAATTGTGATCCTAGCAGGATTTTTCAAGATATGTTAGATATCTAAGATGTGGTATTATCAATGCTAGCCCCTACTCTGGGACTTTCCATGGCTGAGTAGCGATTTGAACAAAGGTCTCCTACATCCTATTCCATCACTCTATTCACCATATCACATTGGCTTTTGAAAATAGGGAGTTGTAATTTAGATTTAGGATAACTTATAACTATACTGGTAGTTGGCTCCGAATTAGCTAATATATCTTCCTCTTGTGACAGATTTTGGAAATTCTGCCCCAAATTAACTTTTATTTCCAAAATGTTTTGGAAAAGAAGAAAAAGCCATTTTAGGTGCTTTCTGCGCCTTTAGCAAAATGTCTCATGCAAACCTTCCATCCAGTCCCATTTCCATGTTTTATTCTATAATATTTGAAAAGAAGCCCTTCTTTTCTTTGGCTTGTCTTGTCTGCAAAGTTGTAAAATGTATATCTTTTCAGTTTGGTACTATGCCTACAGGAGATCCAGTGTAGTAGTGGATAGTGATGGAACAGGACTCGGGAAACCTGCGTTCAAATCCCTATTCAGTTATGGAAGCTCACTGGGGGTGTGGAACTGGTAAAAGTACTCCTTAAATATCTCACTTACTTTCAAAGCGCTATTAGGGTTGGTACAGCTCCAACTTGATGGCACATAACAACAAAGCCTAGGCCACATCAAAAATAAGGACCAGTCTATAGCTCAGATCATGCTCAGCCAAACTATGATTTGCTAATAGAAATGTTATATAAACATACACACTTTCTCTTCTCCTTAAGCACACCGATTTCAATTTCTGGTTTGCAGTAACTATCGTTTGCCATGGCATAGTTTTCAGTAAGTGGACTTTGCTATAAACATATCAAAACAGCTTTTGCTAGGGTGGATTTGATTTATACCAAATTAATTTGAATCATGATTTAATCCCAATTTAAATAATTACTTAGGAAGAGACAATTTAATCATGAGATTTGTTTTCTCCCAAATTAATCATGAAATTTTTCTCCCAAAAAGGACACTCTTGCTTTTATAGCCTTGACATGCATTTCACATGATTTCCTTACTGATACTGACTCCACCTCCAGCAGTCGTCTTTTCATTCATACTGCCAGTGTCTGATAGTCTTCACTTTCAGAAAAAGAAGTAAGGTCCTGATATATCCACATAAATTTGTAGAGGGAACATAACTAGGGATGGCATTTTAAAGGAATCAGCATTACTCAAAGAAAATATTGAATGTTATCCCAGGGATTTTAATAGAGCTTCCAAGAACTTCCAGCACTGCATCATGCTGAAAGAGGGAAAAAAGATCCAGGAATAAAAACAGAAAACAGAGATAATTAAGTCTGTTATTTTTCATCTGTATAGTATACCATTCTATAACACAATCATGACATGGGTCTTTTAAAAACAAAGAAGGAAAATAGAAGAAAGTTTTTTAAAAGAAAGATCTATTTTAAAAAATCAATTTTTCTTATTTAAACTGTTGGCTGAAATTCTGCTGCTTGGCACAGTAAGTTGGAACTTACAAAGGAGCTGACTCACCCAGTCTTGCACTGATTCAATGGCTCTACTCTAGTTATGACTTACTGTGCTAAGCAATTTGATTTTGGCCATTGATTTTTATCTACTATATTTTGTTTCAGTCTGAATCAGCACAGTCAGTGATGTTTGAATAACCTATCATGGCAAACCATGACTATTACAAACAAGAATTGAATAAACAGCTGTTTGTGACAGGAAATAAGAGGACCCATACATAGGGATCCTTCAGTCTCAAGAAACAGGACTTGAAAAAGGGTCTGGGGTTTAGACAATGTATGTGAAGCTGGAGTGTCCTACTCAGGGCACAAAGCCTGAGTAAAATAATATGGAGGATAGGCTATTACCCAAGCAGCAAATCCCCCCTCTCCACAATGCTGAAATAGTCCAATGGGGAGGCAATGGCCAATACAACTGGTTCCAGTGACATCGCAGGAGTTGACAGAATGTCACAAACTCCAGCTCCGGATTTTGCCTCAAGGTTAACTCCTGAAGCCTTTTCCATCAGTGGATATAGCCACAAGGCAGTGGAGGTTTGAAGTCAGAGTTTTCCTTCTCCTAAATGGGCTGCCTCCCAAGGCTGACGAGCCCCACCTACCCGGCCTGCTCCCTCATGGCATGGACAACGATGGTGGCGCCTCAGTGGGGGTTTGAAGTCGGAGTTTTCCTTCTCCTAGATGGGCTGCCTCCCAAGTTTTCCAGTGCTCAGTCTATAATTTGGCTCTAACAGCCAAACTGAACCTGTCCCAGGTATGCTACACTGATTTTCAAGCCATTTTGTACATACTCTGTAAACATGCACTCTGTACATCTATATAAAGCATACAAAGGTCTATAAGTGTCAGTTGTAGATTTTAGAAATATAGCTGTTTACTATATTTCTAAAATCCAGAGACTTAAATAGAATGTTGCATACATAAATTAAAGCTCTGAAAAGTAACTTTTCGTCACTATTTTTGGACCATGGATAAGTGAATCAGCGGATGATGATCCTGTGGATATGGGGGCCCTACTATACTGTTTTTAATTGTTCATAGTAAAGGTGCTGGCAACAGTATGGCAACAAATTATTTGTTTTATGACACAGTTGCAGCTGGAAAGGATTCACAGCAGATAATATGTCAAAAAGCAGAGATAAGAAGACTACAGTACATTAGTAGGTAGAGCTGAGAGAAAGAGCTGGGGTAAGAAGGGGCCAAAATAAGAAGGGCAAGGGAGAATATCATGCAAGGCCTGAGAAAAACACAAAACAAAACAGTCCAGATTGGTAAAAAAAAATTGGAACTTGGCAATAGACCAAAAGGAACATCCAAACAGTATCAATATATTTGTTTATTGTGCAAAATCAAAAGGAAAAGGGGGGGACCAAAAGGAACATCCAAACAGTATCAATGTATTTGTTTATGGTGCAAAATCAAAAGGAAAAGGGGGAAAAAGCATTGTGGCAGTTTAAAGACTAACTACTATATTTTAGTGTAAGCTTTTATAGACCTTCTTAGCCCACTTCATTGGACGTATGAGATGGAAAACAGGGTGATGTAATTCTGATATACTCGCTACAAATAAGCATGTAAACAAGATGAGATGTTTATTTTCAGAAACATCTCTTTAAATTAGCGATAAGCAAAATTTAAACTTCCAGATATTGCTGGACTGCAACTCTCAGTAATCCTCACCATTGGCTATGCCAGTGAAGACTGATGGAAACTGCAGTCCAACAACATCTGGAGGACCAATCTGTACTTCACCGTACTGCAAATCCAAAGATGACCCAAGAACTGAAAAAGAATCTTCCTTTTTCTCTAAGCTGCCCATAAGTTGTGGTGAAAGAATGCCGGGAATTCAGTGCCAGAGTCTAACAGAAACTGTTATCTTATGCATAGAAAATCCTCCTGAATTCAGTGAGTCCAATACCAAGGAAAATGCACACAGAATTTGACCATATCCCTTCATTGGTAGACCATTCTGCTGTTCTCTCAAACTGACATACTGTACATGCTCATCTGAAAGTAAGCTTCATTAAATAGGATAGTTCTTGCTTTTCAGTTAACATGCATAGGATAGTGCTGTCCATTTCATAAAATTACATATTTTAAAAATTACATTTTATGTGCAAATCTGTCTGGCACCGTTTATATTGATAAAGCAGTAAAATAACTTTTGCTTTGAACAGTACTACATCTATTTTCACATACCCTTGCTACAGTGCGATATTATATGCATGGCTTCAAAATTTCCAGAAATTTTACATCTCTGTAACAGGACCCTATTTGTATCTATTGACAACATAAGTTGAAGTGAACTGGAAAGTTGCTGAGGCTAATTTAAAAGTAAAGGATTCTACGAATTGACACTTTTAAATTTTTGCCTGCAATCTCTGCACATGTGCTTGAGTTTTAAAATGAGACTGATTTTCTTTACAGGTGAAAGAAAGTTACAGTAATTTGAAGAAGCATTGTACTGTTGGTAATGCAAGGTGTATAATGTCTTGGATTTTGGCGCCACCCAGTGTTTCCTGCAATGACAACAAATATCTCACAGCACTACACACTAAGAGGAGGAGGAGGAAGTTATCATAGATGATCCAAGCAGCATTCTCCAATCCAAATATGGCAGAACTTAGGACTCGGGAAGGGCATGCATGGTTTTAGCTCCATATTACCAGGGTTTTATACTGTATCTGCTCGGGCCAAGGGGATATTTCTAGTATAAATTCAAACAGCTTTCAAGCTGGTTTAACTGCTATAATCCTCAGTCATCATCATCATCATATGCCATCAAGTCATTTCTGGCATATGGCTATCCTTTTCAGAGTTTTCTAAGTGGAGGATGCTCAGAAGTGATTTACCATTCTTTTCTTCTGGGATCATCCTGGGATTGTACAGCTTACCCATGTCCACACATGTTGGCTCTCTTGGGATGCAGAGTGGGGAACTAAACTCCCAACCTCTGGCAGCCAGATACCTAAACCACTGAGCTATTTAGCCAGCCAATCTTCAATAAAGATAAGAGCTATGGCAATTATTTGAAACACCTGAAGATCTCCAATTTAAAAAATCCCGGCATTTTCATTAATAATCACAGAGATCTTTAGAACAAGCAGTGGAAATCAGCTAATCTAGACAGACAGCAGAGAAATGTCACAAGAAAACATAAATGAGGGACTATAGTTGACACTTCTGAAATAGCTATTTGAGTCAGATGATTAAGTCCTGACTTAATAAACCTAGAAAAACATAGGTTTTGTGCACCTTTACACAACCCCCTTGTTCTCATGTCAGTCCTCCATTCACACAAGCAGGGAAACAAGTCAAGAAGGCATTGATAAGCTATAGCCTTCCATTGTGCTTTCAAGATATGGAAACAGGATTTAAAGCTGGTTCTGAATCTTGGCTTATTGTGAAATCACTAATAATATTTTGCGGTTTTAAAGAAAACAAAAGGGCGGCTTACAGGTGAGCAAAACTTGTGCATGTTATTACCCAAGATCTCACCCAAATATAGTTGATATGTTTGAAATAGAGCACAACAATATATCAAATATCAAGTTATCTAAAAAGCAACAACACAGAAGCTGAACAGCAACAAAGCAAAAGTAAAGCTTCCTGAGTAATATAAAAAACATACAAAACACATCCATAGCAGTACCGCATGTACCTGAAAATAAACCTCTCCATTGGCAATATGAAAAACATACAAATGGATAAGTGAAAATACATATTACGAGGTATATAAAACTAATATGCACAAGGCAGTAAATAAAATAAGTGCCAAGGAATATATATATATATATATTATGCAATCAACAAAAGCAGTAATGTTTTATATTGGACTCCTTAAATATCTCTTACCTTGAAAGCCCTTAGTTGGATTGCTGTAAGTTGGTACAAATTTGCAAAATACAGTATAACAAAAAAATGAGGATAGATTTTACTGACAAAAATCAGTATTTTTCCTTTCAAATCCTGCCAGGTTAAAGGATAGCATTCTAAATTCTGCGTTTTAAATCAGATGCTGATTTTTCAGTTTTTACTTTTCATACCATATTGGGCATTCCAAGTTCTTCTGCAAAGCCAGCAGCGTTCCACGAACCTCAGCAATGCTTGGAACGGAGGGATCCATAGCTTCTTCTACACCTTTGAATAGATGTGCTATATGTCAGTTTAGTCCAGCATTCTCAAACTGATTCATGCTTCCTGCCATAGTACAGTATTCTAAACACCTAAGCTGTCTTGGAAATAAGCCTCATTCAGTTCAGTGGATTTTGTACCCAAATGTTTACATAAATAGCTATAAATATTGTGTTTGAATGATGTAAGCCGTTTGGGGGCCTTCTCAAGAAAAAAGGCAGGGGTTGAAGTTTTTTAATTAAATTAATAAAATAAATAATATGAATCACAAATGTTCCCACTCTTAAAACACCTAAGCTGTCTTGGAAATAAGCCTCATTCAGTTCAGTGGATTTTGTACCCAAATGTTTACATAAATAGCTATAAATATTGTGTTTGAATGATGTAAGCCGTTTGGGGGCCTTCTCAAGAAAAAAGGCAGGGGTTGAAGTTTTTTAATTAAATTAATAAAATAAATAATATGAACCACAAATGTTCCCACTCTTATTAAAAACTATCCAAAATGCCAGAAGCCTGAAGAAAAAAAAAACCTGATCTAAAAGGGGAAGTATAACCTCCCACCTCTCCCTCTGGCTTTCCTGAGCACTTTGAAGAACTCTTAGTCCGACCTGACTTGTAGTCCTCACGTAATATATCCCTACCACCGTTGCCACCCCTCATTCCATCCTGGTCCCCCAACTACTAGCCCGTCCCGCCGCCGCCTTACTTACGGGCACGCTTTACAACACTCATATTTGGCCGCCCAAGCTGCTTCTTCGCTTCTTTTTTCGCGCCTTCCTCAGAGAAGTTTCCTAGGCAACCGCTCGCCAGCCAATCGCCTCGTCGCTTCCTGGTTCGTCAGGCTGACGCAGCCCAAGCCGAAGGACCTCTATTTGGTAAACAAGGGATGTGCTGGGGAGCCTGAGCGCCGGTCGCCCTTCTTTTGGGGGGCGCGAGGGTCCAGAGGCGGGGCGGGCGCCGAGCGGGCGGGCCTTCTGGGAGTTGCAGTCAGGGGCCTAAATTCAATTCCTAATCCTATCTGGAATTGATTGACCCTTTGAACCGTTTACTTTACTGAACGGTGACTCAACCATTACGTAAGATGTAACGCTAGTTGGCATATTAGGCCAAATCCAAAGAAACAAAACAATACCAAAAAAAAAGGACAAAAACATGTGTCATCTTAAAGACTTGACCATTATATTTTAATGTAAGCTTTAGTGGAGACGCCCGCTTCGTCAAACATTAATGACCATTATATTTTAATGTAAGCTTTAGTAGAGACGCCCGCTTCGTCAAACATTATGAGACCGTTGGCAATATCCATTGTCAAGGCCCCAAAATTAAATTTGTTCAAGCTGTTGAGGGCTGATGTGTTTTGCCACTTTTAATAGTCCTAAGACTACGGCCTCTACCCACAAAATAAATAATCAAATAAAATCTGAACTACAACGCAAAAGTGTGCTGTAAACTTTGTAGCAAGCAGCGCCCCCCCCCCGTCCGTACATACAGTACAGTGGGGTCTTGACTTGAGAACTTAATCCGTATTGGAAGGCGGTTCTCAAGTCAAAAAGTCTGTAAATCAAGTCTCCATTGACCTACAGTGCATTGAAAACCGATTAATCCCATAACAGGCCGTTTTTGTTCCATTTTGGTTTTTTTTTTTTCTGGTCTGTAAGTCAAATCTCAGTCTGCAAGTCAAACCTAAATTTTGCGGCCAGAGAAGTCTGTAACTCAAAAAGTCTGTAAGTCAAGCCGTCTGTAAGTCAAGGGTCCACTGTATTGGGATAGTTGTAGTTCTACTCGAGAACTGGGAAGTTTCTATGTGCTTGATTCCTCCAATCGTTTTTCTCACGGTCATGAAAAACAATCCTCGGGGATTCTTTTAGGAAAATATTGCGGACGATGACTCAAATCCAGTTGCTTAGCGCCGTAGGTGGCAACGAGAGTAAGCCCACTGAATCAGTAGAATTCACTAGTTGCAATTTACTACGGCCAGCAACAGGATTTCAGACATCATCTATGGCCTTGCTTAAGGAGAAAAGAAATTGCTGGAGCTGCTGTTTTGTGTGTGTGTGTGTGTGTTTTTCGGTGGGGGGGGAACAGACACGCCTAACCACAGCAATATTAAAAATCTGATTTTTTATTGGCCGCTTTCACTTCCAACCCTGGAGTAAATTTAGACTTGGCTTCTCCAAGCTGAACCCGGAAATTCCTTATCCGGATAATCAGGCGCATCTCTCCCATTTCTTGTTTTTGCTGTGATTCCCGAGACCTTCCCCCCCATCCTCTGTAAGCCCTCCCCTTATCCGCGTCACATCCAATGGGAAGGAAAAAGGAGGTGAATGGCAGTGAGAAAAACCCAATCAAGTGCTAGCAGCCGCTGTTGCGAGGGTAGGCCGGGGGAATCTGCCACGTTCGGACGTCACAGGGCTCCGGGGGTCCGAAGGCGAAGGGGGCCGGAGTCTCTTCTTCCCGGCGCACGAGCGGCGGGGGGAGCCCTCCGGTTGACCGGAGTCCCAGCACCGGCTAAGGATGATGGTGAGCACCGCCCCTACCTGCCCGTTTATCTGTACAGTACTTGTCTTATTAATGGACTCGTCGGCAGCGGAGGGTGGGGGAGGTAAAGGATCGTGCTTTCTCGAGTAGCCGCACCCCCGAATTACTTTTGTTTCCTCCGTAAGCCTTCGAAACATTTTGTGGCTGAACTAGTTTCTCTCCTATTCCCGTGGCGATCGGAATCAGGCTTTTTCGAGAAAGCATATTTTTTTAGAACTATTGGACTGTTTTCCTCAGTACTCCAGTGCCTAGTACATTTCTATCGCCTGTTTGCAAAATTTTAAAAGTATATAAAAATCCAGAGTGAGGTAGCGCTCGAAGTTACTCAGATCTCCCACTCGATATGCAAAGGGGGAGGGTTATTATGCAGTCTGATCCCATACAGGTTTACTCATTACAGTACAGTGAGGCTTAACACTCATGGAAGTAGACAACATAATTGTATCATTAATGGAATTCCCGTGAATGGCTGTTGGATGCTTTGATATTGATGTTGGCCTTGAGGGCGAGCAGCTCTTGGCCGGCATTGCAAGTAGGTCAAACAGGTATTGAATTTCCGGTATGCACCCTGTAAAATGCAATTTCCTGTGCCCAGGGATTTTGCAAGATGGTTCCTTGGTCGAATGTTTCTGTACATCAGATTGTTTGTAGACTTAATGGTAGGCTATTGTTGGAGGATGCAGAATTTTTGCCTTCTCAGAACTTGGCTTCATAGGCACACTAAGTGGCTTAAAATGCTCTTATCTTCTATCCTTGGGGCCACTGCAAAGCCAAAGCAGGAACAGAAATATTGTGGCACCTTTGAAGTTAACAAATGTATTTCTGTGTGTGTGTGTGTGCTTTGGGGACTTTAATCAGTTTTTTTGGCAGTTATTTTTGTTTCTGCTACTGAAATAGACTTAACAGGTTCTGGCCAAAAACAAAAAGCTAAAACTGTGTGTTCCTTGTGCCCCATCCAAAGGCAAAGATGGGTGATAACTTTTATTAGACCATTAAAAATCAAAACAGAAGATAGCTTTTGACTCTGTCCGGGTCTTCATCAGACTGGGCACCACAGAGCTGTAGATTGTGGAGAAAAAATATATGTCATGTACCATAAAGTCAGAACTGACTTAGAGCAACCCTAAAAGTGCTTTCAATGGAAGTGAAATATTTAAAGAGTGGTCTTATCAGTTCTCCAGCCCTCCTGTGTCCTGTTCCATCACTCTATCCACTAGACTACACTGCATATTAGAGAAGCGTGAAAGCTCTAAAAATCATGTATAGAGGTATATGTCATGTTCCTTTGTTGAAAACAAGTTTCAGAATAGCGGCTGCAAACTCAAGTCAGTGTAGGTTTCAACATCTGTCCTGATGTAGTTGATTAAAAGAGCCTCATGGCGCAGTGGTTAAACCGCTGTACTGCAGCCAAAACTGTGCTCACGACCTGGGGTTCAAATCCCAGGTAGCCGGCTCAAGGTTGACTCAGCCTTCTATCCTTACGAGGTCGGTAAAATGAGTACCCAGCTCACTGGGGGGGGGGGCAATGTGTAGCCTGCATAATTAACTTTTAAACCGCCCAGAGGGGGCTTGAAGCACTATGGGGGGGTATATAAGCAGCACGCTTTGCTTTTCAGATTAACAAATATTGCACTTAAAAGTCTTTGGGTCATAATCTACAGTTGAACTAGCCATATCTGAATTTAGTGACATAATAAGTAACAGAAGGAGTGCAGGGAAGGAGGGATATACATATATCTAAGGGAAAATCAATATAAATATGGTTATTGAAATCAGACTTACAAAAAAGTTATAAATGGAAAACAGAAGGTGATCATGAACCAAGAAACTCTGAAAAAATGTCAGTGGGGCTCATTTGGACTTCACGAAGGCCAGACTCCTACTGGTGTAAGTTGTGTTGTAGATCTTTGATGAGATAATCAGTTGTGGCCCTTATGGTGAAAATAAAGTCTTCCTGGCTTCCTTCCCCCGTGTTTCTGGGGTCTGTGGGGTTAAGAGTCCAGCAGTGGCAGTTTTTCAGCTGCAGAATCATCCCCTGCCCCATTCTGTGTCTTCTAAAGACTTCTTAGAATGAAGGAGATTTCTAGGGACCCCTAGAACATTTTCATTCCCCTGAAACAGTTTGTGTATGGCCACTGGCTGATGATGTCACTGGAGATATGCAGTGTAGCTTATGCCAATGGGTTTCTGGCCATGCTTGCATTATTTGCTGATCAAAACTGCTGTTAGGATTCATAAGAACACAATATTGATTTAAATCATGAATGTATTTAAAACTATGTTGTAGATTTCTTTTTCACAAAAAAGATGTGAGTGCCTAGGGGAAAATGTATTAGTGGATTTGGGAAAATGTGTGTCCTGGTTCGTTCATGATCATTTGGAAAATTAGACTAGAACCATTGAATCACCATAGAGACAATTGTTGAAACAGATTAATTTAAATTGGACAGTACGTGGAAAAGATATTTTCAAAGAGACAGTAGTGTTAGTCTTAAGGTGCCAGAGAACTTTTGCTGAAATAGACTAACAGATTTATTTCAGTGTGAACCTTTGTAGACCATAGTCCACTTCCCCAGAGACATGGAGTGAAACAGTTAGATTTATAAATGTGTACATGTTGTGGGGTTGGCAATCCAACCAAGTTGGTTATAGCAACAGAAAATGAATTTTGTAGTGACATGTTAACACCAGTAATGAGCCTCAAGAGTGTAAATCATGCAAACATCCTGGTGTGGACGCAGTAGTTCACTGTCTGCTCTAAGCTGTCTTCAAGATTTAAAAATCTTGAACCATGTAGTTTATATTTTTCTGAATCATCTGATTTCATGGTCAGATTTGGCAGCTTTGCCTGTACAGTGGTGCCCCGTATAGCGAGGTTAAGCTGTCTTCAAGATTTAAAAATCTTGAAGCATGTAGCTTATATTTTTCGGAATCATCTGATTCCACGGTCAGATTTGGCAGCTTTGCCTGTATAATAATAGTTACATCAAGTAAACTCTTGATATATTGGAACCCTTTCCAGGCTTTCTTGGTAGAGAGTACTCAGAAGTAGAAGAGACCTTTGGGTAGTGACTGTATAATAATAGTTACATCAAGTAAACTCTTGATATATTGGAACCCTTTCCAGGCTTTCCTTGGTAGAGAGTACTCAGAAGTAGAAGCGACCTTTGGGTAGTGTGCTGCCCACACTACCCAAAGGTCTCTTGGCAGCTTACAACAATTTGAATTCAATAAAAAACCCAAAAACAATTAAAATATAATTAAAAATACAATGGTTTACCATTTCTTTCTTCTGGAACCACTCTGCGACAGTGCTGCTTGTCCTAAGCCATGCAAACTGGTTCTTCTCCTGAGGGACACAATGAGGAACCAAGCTTCCAACCCCTGGCTGTCAGCCAGATACCTCACTCAGTCAGCTATCCAGCCTGCTCTTTACCTGTATATAGTGAACCAAGAATCCCTGGTCCTGAACCAACCCTGATACAATGCTCTGGAAATTAACAATACACCCCACCTCTGCTATCTCCCTGTCCAGTCCTCCCCACCCCTTGCAACTCTTTCCCACAAAAGTCATCTTCAGATCAGTAACAGAGCATTTGGGGAAGATGAAGTATTGCTAGGAGTAAGGGAATAACCAGGTGAGTGGCATTTTTCCGTCACTGGTTTCATTTGTCCTAAAATACTGCCAGTCCTCGTGTTCAGAATTGCTGTGTCTCCTAAAGAGAAATTAATTTCAAAACATCCAAACTTTTTGGTTTAATGTGGCACTTTTATCTTATTTCCTTAGTCCTGCAGCATGGATCCACAGGTACATCTCACTGTCACCTACCAAGGTGACACTCAGAGCTTCCTTGTGTCAGATCCATCTAATACCACATGGGCTGATGTAGAAGCCATGGTGAGTTACATCTTTGCTGGTTGAGATTCATTGGCCAGTACTGAAGTACTAGATGAAATAAAACTTTAAAGATTGATAGCAGAGAGGAATGTGTGTGCTATGAAACTTCAGAATGGCCAAACTAGCCATCCTTTTCGCCTCTAAGGTTTAAGAAGCAGATTATCCCTTACTTTGGTGGTAGAGGTCTGGCATAAAGTAAGTGATGATGGAAATGCAGGGTCCTGGCATCCACAGTTTTTGTCTTCACTAAGAAGATCAACCAAAAATGATGATCCTCTGATGGTGATATTCTCTGAGGAACCTAGAGCTAATGAATGATAACAGATGCTCAGGAGATACACCATCACTCTGCCTCATACTGGGAAGTAGCTGAGATTGCAGTTCAGTCTCCGAACATCCAAGCAAGATGAGCCTTCTCACCCTCAAAATAACTATTGTCAGATATATTTTAAATTACAGAAAATACATAGATTCTAATAATGCTCCTGAAAACAAGCCTTGACTGAATTCATCCAGTAGTGTCATATGGTAACAAGCAAGCTGCATTGATGCTGAATATTTTTGCTGAAGGGTTGCTTAGTTAGACTTTATCATGAGCTCTTTGCCCTTTGTGCACATATTTGCTTTGCCTTTGTACTCACAGGCTTTCCTAAGACCATTGGTGGGATTGATATATTGCTTTGTCTGGAGGATCTAGGAGATAATTTTGGAATCTTCATTGCAGAGTTCACATTCACAGAAATGTGCTTCTGACTGGAAAAAATAGCATGCCAAGAATCTTAATTTTTTTGGTTTGAGATTCTAGAGTTTATTTCTACCGCAGGTGGTCACAGAGATAACTTGGAGCTGTGCAGGTAATAGCTGATGAAATCTCAGACCAAGTGACAGGGACAACTGTTGAACTCTAGTGCTTTATTTTTCTCTGTTCTATTTTGTAATTGGCAGACATGCAATAAATTGCACAAAACCATATGCAAATATGTAAACAAGTACAGTGTACCTCGCTTAACGATGTTAATTGGTTCCAAAAAATTCATCGCTATGGGAAAACATCACTAAGCAAAACGCGTTTTCCCATAGAGATGCATTGAAAACCGGATAATCCGTTCCAATGGGAACGGATTGCTGTCCTTAAGCGAAAATCGCCATAGGAAACATCGCTAAGCGAAACGCAGTTCCCCCATTGGAATGCATTGCAACCTTTTCAATGCATTTCAATGGGGGAGAATAAAAATCACCAAAAATTCAAAAAGAGTCAGAACGAAGCCAGATTTGGTTAACAAAGGGTTTATTAAGTGCACTAACGATTTCAAGCACTCTAAACCCTTTCTAAACAATTTAACACCTTTTAAAAATAGCGAAAACGGAGCTGTCAAAAACATCGCTAAGCGAAACAAGGGACCTAAAGTGTCATCGCTAAGCGAAGCAAGGTCCCGAACATCGCTATGCGAAATTCCCCCATTGGAAACATCGCTAAACGGAGCGCAAGATCGCTCCAAAAACCTCATCGCTAAGCGAATACATCGTTAAACGAGGCAATCGCTAAGCGAGGCACCACTGTAGTAGCACTCTATATTCTTCGTGCAAGTCTTTGAGGCTTTAAGCATGGAACTTGCACAGCCTTGATTTATGTTTGTGAAGGCATAATCCTTGCCCCTACTGGACACATCTGGGATGTTTGAAAGAAACAGAGGGATCTTTCTTGGAATTTAGACTTTGCTTGTCTTTTTGGCTATAATGAAGAGTGTGGCAACTCTGTTCTGAGCACATTATTTTTCTTTCAGGTGAAAGTCTCATTTGAACTGAATGATATCCAGATTAAATATCTAGATGAGGATCATGATGAGGTATTATACGTACACATTTCTATGAAAAGTTTGTGTTAAGAGTGAAAGATTTGGGAAGAGTGTGTCCTTGAATTTTTGGAATAAATGAAGGCTCTCAGAGCATCATAAATTCCCTCTCAGACATTCTGGTAGTTTGTATTATACGTACACATTTCTATGAAAAGTTTGTGTTAAGAGTGAAAGATTTGGGAAGAGTGTGTCCTTGAATTTTTGGAATAAATGAAGGCTCTCAAAGCATCATAAATTCCCTGTACAGCAGTGGTTCCCAAACTTGGGTCACCAAATAATCTACGACTACAACTCTCAGACATTCTGGTAATTCCTTGTTCTATATCAGGGGTCTCCAAACTTTTCACATGGAGGGCCTCATAATATGTGTGCACGCACTCCCGCCCACCCACACGGATGGGCCGGATATGGCCTGCGGGCCATGCTTCGGAGCCCCCTGCTCTGTATACTAGGCCTGCATACATAAAGAGGTGCTTTGTCTGTTATTGAAAACTATCGCTAATGGAGGTGATAGGCCTGCATACATAAAGAGGTGCTTTGTTATTGAAAACATTCGCACCTATATTCAAAATAAAATTTTATTTGGTAGAGAATTGAGGCTAGGCTGGCTTACTTCAAAGCGGCTTCTATTTCCAGCTTCTCTCTTTCCCCCACAAAGCTGATACTTCAGTCACCTTTGTGAGAGAGAAGCTCTCCTCTTATGTACTGAAATTGCAGACAAGCTAATGGAGGTGGGTGGGGGTGAACTAAGTGGAAATGGTTACAGAAGCTGGACAGCAGCTTTGAAATGTTAGATAAGATATCTCTTTTTAATTTTAAAGTATTAGATATGACCACCAGCAGAGAAAAGTCCATCTCATTGATTCTTGGTTTCTTTTCACAGGTGTCTGTCAATACAGCAGGTAACTTGCATTTGGCTTGCTAATTACAATAGTTGATACATTTAGGCTGCATTGGTATAAATATAAAAGCAGCAGTTTTAGGCATTCCTGCATATAGGAAATTCATGGAGAACTGCCTTACCTGTTTTTGAATGTGTGTGTGTGTGTGTGTGTGTAATATATATATTATGCAACATGCCTCATTTTCACCCTGTAAATACTATACAGTGGGGCCTCGACTGAAGAATGTCCCTACTTACGAAAATTTCGAGTTATGAAAAGCTCCGGCCGCAAAATTTTGCTTTGACTTGCGGCTGGAGCTTCTACTTATGAAAGAAAAAAGGCAGGGGAAAAGGGCAGGAAATTTAAATTTACTAACAGTGGCGAAGAGGCTGCTTCATTGCCCCAACGGTTAGGAAAAGGGAGGCTCAGCCTCCCGGGCTTCCAACACCGCCCCAACCGCCGCATCAGGGCAGCTTTTGGCTTCCCGGGCTTCCAAAGCGATCACTGCTGCCCGCCGCCTCCCGTCCCTGCTGCCTCCTGCAGCAGCGGAGGCAGTGGGGATGGGAGGCAGGGGGCGGTTTTTGTTTTTTTGGTGATTTTTTTCCTTTGGCCGGAACGGATTAAATGGTTTTCAATGCATTCCTATGGGAAACGGTGCTTTGACTTACGAAATTTTCGAGTTATGGCCACCGTTCCAATGCGGATTAATTTCGTAAGTCAAGGCAGCACTGTATTTAAGGATGTTACCTAGCTATTCCAGCAAATTATTTTATTGTTCTCCTTCCTCGAGCAGAAGTGGGCTTTCTGTCTGCAATTACCTATCTGCCAGTGAAATGTTTTACTCCCTCCACAAGAAGTGTTCACATTCCTTTTTCTGTTGGTGGACTGTTAATGAATGTTTCATTATATCACAGCAACGTAGCTAGTGGCAGGTGGGAGTGGGGGCTTGAGGTCAACAGGCAAATGTCCGCCAGGGTTTTTGGGGTATTTTTTAGCCTTTTTATATCAGTCATCTTATGATGCTGTTAATGAAACCCAGGTCTTTACTAACTCACCCTGGGCTGTTGATATTTGAACACTTTAAAAACAGAAAAAGAACTGAAATGTGGTATACCCATGGGGTCTATTCTTACTCTGCCTGTGAGTCTATGTATATTCACCACTGGTAGAGTGAAGAGTTTGAGCCTCATCTTCTTCCATTTCCCGGTTTGTCACTCTCATACACACAGAGGGGGACAGAATAAAATGGAGATCACACACTCCACATAAAAAAGGTGACAAAAGCAGAAGGCTTTGGCACTCCCCTCTATCTGTGGTGAATGTACGTGGATTGTTAATGCTTCAACAGAGAATACAACGCAGGACCTGAATATTTTTTTTTAAGTGACATATCTTTGTATTCCTACTTTCCCCAGACCCTGATTTTTTTTTTGTTTGATTGGTATGGGAAACGGTGCTTTGACTTACGAAAAAAAATTCTGTTTGATTGATTGGCTTTTTTTCTATTTTGGTTTTTTAAAAATCTTTTCAAGAAGTCTGTAAGCGGACAAGAATTGTGCTGGTAATATCAGATTGTGCAAGGGCAGAATGCCTATAAAATTTTTCCTTTGATGTGCTCAATTTTTGGGGGACGGCAAAAGGGATCTTACTCTAATGAACGATAAGCAGCAACAGGTATTTGAGTGTAGAGTTAATCTACCTGGCAGTGAATGCAAATTAAAAAGGTTCTACTTTGACTTTCTGTGCTGTTTTGGATGTGATATTGCTGACTGTTTTTTTTTCTGTTTTTTCTTCTTTCAGAGGAATATGAAGAAGCTCTGAAGGTAACACATAGGGCCAGCTTTTTTGACAATTTTTGCAGCAATTCAGCTACAAAAAATGGTGTTTCCTTGGTGTGGTGTGAGAAGAATCTGTTAACATCTTCTGTTTCACGGAGTTGCCAATTATTATTGATGCTGTTCTTGACATCCTGTGCCTGAAGACTGGTGTAGGTGGTGTTGGCATTTCTTTGGAAAGGCTGCCAAGTTCATTGATTTTGCATTTATTTTATAACTGGAACAAAACAGAAGAGTAGTATTGGAATTTCTGGTTGTCTGTTGCTATGCTTGGAGGGAAAGAATGGACAGATTCTTCTAGCTAGAATTTAATATAATACTAACAAGCTACCTTGTATGACATTGCACAAAATCCATAATATACATGAAAGGGGGAATTCTGATCACAATCTAAACCCATACTGCTTTAGATCAGGGTCCAGGGCCATTTTTGTCCTCTGAACCTCAGAAGATCTCAAATCCCAGACAACCAAGAAAAAAAATGTTTCCACCAGAAAATAACAAATTGCCTTCCCTTGTTATGGGCCAGAAAGGGCCCTTTTCCAGTGACTTCCAGATTATTAGAAATTGATACCTGATCGTGCAGCGAAGATCCTCCATAGGGCGGCCATTTTCCACTCCCTGTCTTGCGAAATGAGGTCAGCAAAACAGCAGGGAGCCATTCTGAGAGCCGCCGATCAGCTGTTTTAAAATCATTGTGAAGCGAAAAATCGGTTCCCAAAGCAGGGAACCGATCATTGTGAAGTGAAAAAAACCTATACAAACAGCGTTTCGTGATCACTATAGCAATCGCAAAATACTCATCATCAAGCAATTTCGGTGTCTAACGGGGCAATCTTCAAGCAGGGCACCACTGTACATTTAAATGGCAGATTTTACTCTCTAAGACTTCAGGGATACCATTTGCCAGTTTCAGGCCAAAAAGTGTTTCTAGATAAAGATAGTTTGCTCCTGTCTGCCATGTTAAGTCTTACAATACCTGTTTCTGCATCATGAAGCATTCTTGAGAAGATGGCCCTTGAGCCACCTTGTTAATTATACTTGAGTATAGGTTAAACCCACTAAGCTCACACATGTGGATGAATTCCAAGGTAATGTAATGTTATGATTCAAGACTATATTCCACTTGTCTACATGCTAGCCACCTCCTGCCAGAACTATTTGAACTTCCTGTTCTGCCTGATCTTTTCTCTCCTGTTGAGAAAAGGAGCCTCTCCACTGCTGAGCTTATTTTCTGGTTACCTTTCTTTGCACTCTTGTTCTAGCTCCGTGTGTTTTGTAGCAGCTGTGAGGTTCTAGTTGTCTCTTTTTCCTACAGCACTTTTAGTATTCAAACCAAGTTTTACCCTTTTCTGTGTGTATTTGTTTGCTCCCAGCCATTCCTTGTGAGCAATCCTGATAACCATTACCATTTTAAAAGACTAGTGTAACTAAGACTTGAGAAAGTGACTTGCTCAAAGGCCACACATTTAGTGGATTGTTGCTCATTGTCAGAGAACGTGGTGAAGCAACTTGTTGATCTTGCGGTTTCAGAGGACACTGTCTGGTTTTGCTGTTCTCTGCTAACTGTTACGGTTTTGTCAATACTCTTCAGTTCCTAATTCCACTCAAGGGATTCATTTGTCTGTGGTTACCTTGCTACCTGTCAATTGAAACAAAACAATCAGGGTTCAATAGCCTTAGACGCATCGGCAGAACTTCTTCACTGTTCTGCTGCTGCCCTTCCATGATAAAACAGAGCCCAAAATGGCTTATGGTAACAGCAGAGAAAAATTACATATTATAAAGCACTACAAAATAATATTTCCAGGTATTTTGAAGACAGTGCAGAATTTAAATAACTGTATAGTAGGTTAAGCATCTAGTAGCAATAATTGTATGGAAACTTTAAATAGCTTGTTAATAGTTGCATAACCTGACCAAAATGATTTGTAGTCAAAATAATACATTTTATTTGAAATGAAATCTGGCTTCAGTTACAAAATCTTTCTCGTATCCTGTGGTCACAGTACCTAGGCATCTGCAGCTTTGTATCTTGAGTTACTCAGGGCCTTGCCTTCCGAAAGCAAGGCGGACACAGCTGTTAAGTTTATATGGCCCATCAATATTCCAATATTCTTTGGAAGAGTAAACAAAATGCTAAAAAACAAGATGCAATACTGCATTTAGAAAACTCAACAAAGTATAAAAGCACCTAGAAGAGTCCTGAAAATATCAACAAGGAATTGGGTTTGCTAGATGGGCAGTATAACCATCAAATAAACAAACAAATATAATAATTATTAGTTCACATTAAGATCCGTACTAAAGTAGAGACCACAGGGATTATTTTAAAAGGTCTAGGTAAAGAAAAACAGTTGCCATCTGGCACTAAGAGCATTAAGGCAGCATTAAGATGGAGAGTCACTTCCATGACTAGTGTGTCGCCACCAAGAAAACCCCTTCCTTCGCAGCCACCTGCCGGTGTTCACTTGCTGGGGTGCATGGGACGGAGCCTCCAAAGAGAATCTTGACATTTGGAACGTATATTCAGAAAGAGGTGATCTTACAGATAACGTAACCCCAAACCATTTTGATCTTTTTAAATTTCAACCAGCAGTTTAAATGGGGTTTGGAAATTAACTGGGAATGTGGTGCACTGTGGTTTACAGTGTAATCGTAAGTATTTTGTATTTTATTTGTTTTTGTTTTGGAAATTTAAATTTTTTTTAAAAAAAAAAAAAGAAAATTAACTGGGAACCAGTACAGCATGTAAAGTACCCTGTTTCCCCAAAAATAAGACCTAACCTGAAAATAAGCCCTAGTATGATTTTTCAGGATGCTCTGGGAAGGGAAGGTGGCAATTTCAGCCCCACTGGGCCTGCCGGGGGGGCTCTGGGAAGGGAAGGTGGCAATTTCGGCCCCGCTGGGCCCGCCGGGGGGTGGTGGAGGAAGGCCCAAACCAATGCCTGCAGTACCTCTCCAAGACCCTACCTGGCCTTTCTGCACACACACCCGCGGGCCGAAATCACCAGAATATTTTTTCCTGTTTTGCTCCCCTAAAAATTATGTGCGTCTTATGGAGAGGTGGATCTTATGGAGCAAAAAATATGATAGTTTTTTTTTTATTTCCCACCTTTTTCCCCTGCCTTTTTTTTGTTCATAGATCAAAGCTCTGGCCGCAAGTCAAAACAAAATTTTGCAGCCAGAGCTGTTCGTAAGTCAAATTGTTCGTAGGTCAAGGTGTTCATAAGTCAAGGCACCACTGTACACAGTGCACATGTTGAGGGCTGTCCTGGTGAAACTGGGAGTGATGGGAAGGTTCCCTCCCCCATGAATGTTGTGCTGAAATGAACTGCACCTTGTTTTAGAGCCGTCAGACCCCCCCCCCAGTGGCATTCTTACTCTTTGCAAAAAAATATGGCAATGGAGTGGCAAAAATGGCCTTGTGGTGCTGTATGATTCCCACCCTGCTACAATGGGTCTGAACTCCCTTCTAGAATAGATTGAATGCCATTCATACCATCGAATGAAGTTCCAGAGCACAGAGTATTTGCTGAACTTATTCTTATTTGCTCACCCTCCTCCCAGACCATCATAGCACTCAAGCCCTGATTTGAGATGTCCACAGTCATATGCATGTCTGACAAAAGAGAGAGAGAAAAATGATACCCTCATCATAATGGTGGAGTTGGGTTTTGTTTTGTTTTTGTTCTTACACCCAGCAGCTGTGTTTGTTTTGAGGAATGAGATTGGTTCATTCAAGGTCGGCATGTGACTTGAGTGTTTGACTTTGCCTGCATAAGGAAGCTTTGCACATGAGTTGAGTGTGGGTACACATACAAAGATACCTTTATAGTGAACTTTTTCTTTAGATTGCAGTGAAGCAAGGCAATCAGCTGCAGATGAATGTTTACGAAGTAATCGCTTCTCCGGGAGTATCTTCACAGCAAGCCCCTGAGAAGTCTGACAAATCCTTCATGCCCAAAGATGGGAGGAAACCCCTCTCTCACTGTTCCATAGTTGCTCAGTCCATGATGTGGGATCAGGACACTGAGAAAGAGAATGAGAAGCCACAGGTAAGATCATAAGCTGTGTCCCTTGGGCACTGGCATTGTCTTGTTTGTCTGATGCTTCCTGCTTTGCTCCATGCCCCATTCCACCATATGTACTTCCAGTAAATAAGTATAACATAGCTTGGTTTATCACAAATTCCTGATAATGGGAAATGGTATAAATGGAATTGCTCTTTAACACAGGGTTAAAACTGTACAAGTCTGAACTGCTCTCATATGCTGTCAGATGTGAGTCCCAGATACTGCGTGCATAGACTTTTTCCTGAAACAACATGATGAAGTTTATTGGACAGAGCTAATGTCCATGGTAATAACTTTGAGCATTTAAGTGTACACATCAGGGACATTGTGTCTTTATCTGTTGCCTAACATGCATTAGATGCTTTTATAAACAATAGAGGGTGAAGTGTTCTAAATTCTGAGACACTGTTTTCTTACAACCATGACAGTGATTGTTTAGCTGACACATTCTTGTCGTAAATTCATCAAGATATAACTGCCTTTTTTTCTTTGTTGCTAATTGTTACTAGCAGTGCTAATTCTTGCAAAACCTAAAATGCCTAAGAATCTGCTTTCCAAAACTCTATCATCATTTCTAAAATCTCTATATCCAACATCATACAGAAAATCTTGGGTAGGTTGTGCTTATCTGTTTTGTTTCTGTAGTTAAAGAAATTATTTGAGAATTTTCCCAAATTCATCATAATTATTACTGATGTGGAGTATATTATGTAACCCTTCCCCATTTCATTTTTGAGTAGGTCAGTTTTAGTGATAACAATAACAATTAATTTTACAACGTATCCTGCTTCAATCATTTAAAGGCTTGTAATCAGGGTGTTTCTTACAGATTGAACTTTCAACTATTCATCCACTTAGTGTGTGCAATTTTATTTCACCCAGTGTTATTTTGTGTGTTATCAATTGAGTTTTAAAAGTGCCCAGAGTGGACCACCTTTCTGACCACCTCTGCTATATTATCTTCCATCCATCTTCTGCTATCTTGCTTGCTGCTTCTATTCATCTTAGCTGTCTTCCTCCCTTTTCTATCCTATGTTGTCCTGCTTGTTTCCTCTCTCATCACATTACCTGGGTTTCCTCTGTTGTCCCTTTTCCTGACTAAACCATGCTGATTGTTAAAGTTGTAAAACTGAGTTTTGAATGCTTGGTTGACATTCAGTAACATTGGTGTGGTTGTAAAAGTAGGGGGTTGTTGTAAAGTAAGCTTTCATACCGCCAGAAATCTACTGCATCCGGGTGGCAGTCTGTTACACAGTTCTGCAAGACAGTTGATGCTGTTTAGCAATGACAAAAACAGCTGCTAATTGCATTAGCCTCTTAGCAGTACCGGCAAGCAGATGCTTAATTTACTTGATATTCAGCCATTGTCCTCACTTATTGAGAAATAGAGGGAGATGCGTTCTTTGTACACCCAGTGTGGTGTAATGAATAGAGTGAGAGACTAGGACTCAGGATCCCCGGATGTGAATCCCCAGCTCAGCCATGGAAACTCACTGGGGGTGTGGCACTGGTAAAACCACTCCGTAAATATCTTTCTGACCTTGAAAGCCATATTAAGGTTGCTAGAAGTCCATTCTGACTTGACTAACTATAAACGTTCTTTGTGGGTCTCCAAAACTAGGGTAAGGGAATACAAGTTTTAGTTTTCGGTTGGGTTGCCAGTTAGTCTGTTGCAGCAAAGGGTCCTAGGACCACACAAGACTAATTTTATTTGGCATAAGTTTTGTGACTGCAGATAACCCCTTCAGATGCGCAGGACAAAAGGGGACCGCACTCCACAAAAGCTTATACCAGATAAAACAGAATAGTCTTTGTATTCGTTGAGTAATAGATTTTCATGTGTCCCTTTCCACAAATACAGAGGCATAATGTATATATGCTCTGGCAGAAAAGTCAAGTGCCAGTTCCTAGCAGTTCTTTTTTTTTAATAGGACAAATCATTTAAAATTTAAAAGTGCCTTTCTCTGTTTACACGGTCTGTCAAGTGGCATATGAGTAAGTACAAGGAAGTTATCTGTTCAGTTACACTAGTGTATGTTTCCAATCTTTGCAGAGTGGCCAACATCTCAGTGAGGCCCCTCCTGAGTGGTTCACAAGCTACTTGGAAAAGGTGAGTACTTCCTCTTCTAGGGCACATATATTCTTCCAACCCTTTTATGAAAGAGGCTTTGAGGACAGGGGCATTGGAAGTATCCTGAGCAGATCTTGAGAAGAGCAAATCTTTACTCATGAGTCTTCAAACTAGCTGGAGTTGAGCATACAAGCTGAAATTCAGTACAACCCATCCCATATGCCAAATTGGTCAAACACATATGGGGCATAGCTGGTATTCTGGAGACCGCGTCAGGTCATTCTTAGACATTACAGTGAAGTCAAGGAGTTGAAGAGACTAATGGGGGAACGTCGGCCTATCAGTTTCCCCCTGTTAATATGCAATATTCAGAAGCATACAGTGGGGTCCCGACTTACGAACTTAATCCGTATTGGAAGGTGGTTCGTAGGTCAAAAAGTTGGTAGGTCGAATCTGCATTTCCCATAGGAATGCATTGAAAACCATTTAATCTGTATCTGCTCTTTTCCGTCCATAGAAACTAATGGGCAGCT